TCTTTCTATCAAGATTTTATTCTCAAAATTATTAATCTCGAATTGATAATAAATTAACATTTGCTTATGCAAGACACTAACGATTATTTTTCGCTATTGTAAAATACCTACTTAAACAATTTTGTAAATACATTATTCATAACAATAATTACGTATAATATTACAAAATTTCGTTCGCAATTTCATTTTAATTATAAATTAAAATTGTTAAGAGCAATTTCAAAATATATTCGTATACAACTCTCATACTTTTCTCATACTGTGACGGTAATAAAGCTAACATATATTCTTAATTTAACGAAATAGTACGCAAAATATTGCAACAAGACACTGCGATTATTTCTTTATTATTGTTGATGCCATTTTACAATATTAATTAAAACTAATATTCAGTTATTGAATATAATTAAAAGAACATAAATGTATCTAAATTTAACAGTAATTTTTGTAAGAGAATGGTAATATTTTAATACAATGTAAAATATCCTGAATTTACGATTTAATAAATATGTTTGCAATGTTTTCATGTTCGTGAAATTCTTTTCTTTCTTCTTTCAGATATTAGGGCTTAAAATATTATTGTTCGTTAAAAATAATTCGATAAAGCTATGAATATCGTTGAATGCCACGAGTACAGCAACGATACTTTAATTAAACAGTCGAGTAAAATAAAGAATTTAACATTTTATTTAATAAATTCTAGAGCTTACTCATCATCTGACTAGACGGAAAAAAGATATCCTGTCCTACTCCCATGTACGACCTGTAGGTGAGAAATCAAGTTATGAGTCTCTTAGTGTAGCAGTATAGGGCGATTCTTGTATTATGTCGTCGGCCTCTAATTGAATTTCTATTTCCTCGTGGTCCAATCACCGCTTTTCAAAGGGATCGAAAGATTTTTTTGTATTCATAAATTTAACATGCAACTATTTCATGTAATCTTAATGCTAATTATGTTTTCTTACAATGACTGAAAAGTGAAAGATACCTTATCACTCGATATTCTTCTACGTAATAATCAATACTAATTACTTACTTGCTTTTAATTCGTTGGATTGAATTTCTATAATTTCTCGATACATTCCCGGAACCAGTATCTGCTCTGTCGCATAAAATTTCGTTATTGTAACGGAAATATATTTTATGTCGTGGTACGAGACTCTATAATTAGAACGTAGGTTGTCTCCGAGAAAAAAATAAGCTGAAATTAATGCCGATGAATCCAACGACTAATGGATCAAGAGCGTGAACACATATGAATTTAAATCGTTATTGTAGTGAATTACTACACTAGAAACTGGAAATTCTTCGAACTTAAATTTAGTTTTATGTATTAATCTACGAAAATTATATTTCCACTTAAAAGTCTTACAACGGTCGAATACTGACATCAGTCGTAAAGTCTTATTTTTAAAATTTATCCAAAGATCTTGAAAAATTCGAAGCCCAATTATTTTTCACGATTTAGCTCTTGTGCATCGACAAAATTCGACCTTCAACCGCTCGAGAAATTATTAGTGTATGAAACTACGTGTTTAGAAGTTGCTTAAACTCACTCAACATTGTAGTATGACCTCGTGCGATCGACAAATACAACTACGCACTGTTCAAGGGACTCGCGCGACCTTTATCCTATAAAATTTAAGGTCAGAAGGAATCTACGTGTAAGATTTAATGACTGTCAGGCCTACCTGAATCTTATCAAAACAGCTTATCGATATTGAACAATTTTTATATTTGTGCCTTAAAATATTTTGCGTGGAATATTACAAAAAAAAAAAAAAAAAAAAAAAAAAAAAAAAAAAAAATTCTAAATATTAATTTGTATTTCCGTCAATTTAATTACATTATTTAATAAAAGCTGTTTAAAATAATTACTATTAAATTATGTATTACTGTTAAATGAATTTTTTAATTTCATTAAATAATAGAATAGAGTTAATTGTTTACAGTTTTTAAAATATTTATATTTATCATGCCTTAAAACTATGTCGGATAGCTCTAATTCATCGTACTGCATTTTTTAAAAAATGAATGAATTTATTAAATATTCTGTTTCGAACAAATAAGTGCTCTTTTATATAATAATTATCTAATAAATACTATATAATTCTTCATTTCGATATAATAATCAATATTAAGGTCATCGTCCATAATTTCCATTGCAAATGTGCACATTCGTCAATGGATGCTCGTCTAAGAATTTTAAATGATTAAAATAACGAAAAGAAATATCTAAAATTTACAACAAATTACGTTAAAAAGTATGGTGATGTATAGTTCAGTATTGGTTTGTAAGTTAATAATTATAAATTATATTTTGTATAAAGTATTATCGGTCAGCTCACGTCGTTCATACAATAAGTATGCAATAAATATTATAGAAATCTTGATTACAAAGTCGATAAAATTTTGTGATATATTGTAAATATTTTTAAATCGGATTAATCCAAAAAATAAATTTTATAACCCCAGACAGATAAGGTGATAAAATAAGTTTTAGAATCAATCTCTTTGTTTTCTCTCTCCCTCTCTCTCTCTCTCTCTCTCTCTCTCTCTCTATTCTTACCGCAATGTTGAAGCGAAGAAGACATAACTATATTAAAGTAGTTTGAAAAATCTGTTATCGTAGAAATTAACATTGTTAAGTGATAATGCAATTAGAATGCAAATTGCAGAAAACTATTTTTTTTTTTTTTTACCTTATACGTTTTAAAATTACAAATTTTTTATTACTTTTATAAATTTTTAACTGATTCTGGAGGATTAACATGTCATACAGATTGTTGCATATAGTTTATAAAATTGTACGTATGATGCGCTTTAATAATATCAGCATATCTTAAAATTCTATAAATCTAACATAAAAGTTACCAATATTTTGAGTTCAAAATACATTTTCATCGCTAATAAAGCATAATAGGAAATAAAATAAAAAAAGTTCAAATAAGAGTTAATGAATTTTTGAAAGAAAAAAAAAGAAAAAAAAATACTAAAAAAAAAATTAAATACTAATATTAAGCCAAGTGATTTCAAATGAAAGGATAATAAATTTTCCTTATCTTTATAATTTTATCATAATAATTCACTTATAAGATATAATTACTAAATTTTATCTATGATCATCTAGCTCCCATATTCTCCGAATTACGAGAATTAAGATAATTTTATTACACGTATAGCTCAACTTTAAACTAACTAAATAAATGTTCGGTAAATTTAAAAAAAAAACAAGAACTTTTTTTTGTATTTAATTCAATTTTACCCATATTTATATTATCAAGATCTATTTAATCGAGAGCTTTCATCCAATAAACTTTTTAACTTGACCTTATGTAGCTCTAAATATATTTTCCATACCGAATGTAAAATGTAAACTTACAATGCATATTCTTGATGTTTACTAGACACGAAGGAAAAGTAAACATCGATAGTATAAAGTGTCCGTGACGCTAACGGTTAGTTATTAGAAACAAAAACGTGTAAGAATCGGTTAATGAGTATGCAATAGTACTCCGTCACTGCTCAGATATTTGTCATGACATACCTCATTAATTTTAATTTACTGTTGTCATACTTTCAATATAAGTTCTATAATAATGCTATCTATTAATAACTCACTATCGTGAATAAATTGAATTATTCAAGTTCAGTTTCATGCTACATTATAGTTCCTTATGTAGAAAAATCGTGAAATAAATCATTATTACAATACTAAAATAAATTACTAACAGTTTTAGAATATTTGAATTGATAATTCAACATATTATTGTCATATTTTGTGTTTATTGAGAATGTAACTTTCGGCTGTGGCTTATAGAGTATTATAGAGGAATTAGATTATTGTAAGTCAAAATATCGTTTGACGAGAAAAGTATCGACTATTTCAGCGTTAAAAATATGTAACCAACCAAACGTATGACTTATATTCACTTTAATCGTTAAATACAACTTCAATAAAAGCTTATATTATTCTAGTTGTAGGAAATAATGCTATTGACACTTTTGGTACATAAATCTATACAAAATAATGCAATAATTTACTCTAGGGGTTCGTAAATAAAAATTATTACATTCTAAAGATCTTGAAGGACGCATAAATGACGTGAATTATTAGCTTCTATTTTCATTAACGGTCTTGCGCACATAAATATTGCACGTGACAAGGACACATGCCCCGTTATACTATTCCAGTAGACTGTGTGCTGCACTAGATTCAGCCGAAAGACACTTTTGTTATGCATCGTTGTAAGTGTTCACGTCGTATACCTTTCGTCGAATAATAGAGATGACCAGAGCAAGATCGTTGCTACAAAAGAACGACGAGAGCCGGCAAATGTCATCCTTTTCCTGGTTAAAACGTCTGCGAGCTCTAAATTCAAGTCGGCACAAGATTAAAAGCAATCGGTTCCGACTGGTAGAGCCAACAAGGCCAAGTCAAAAATAAAATTAAGACAGTGGATTCGTCGTGTATACTCCTCTCCTCTCCTGTCCGTTAAGGCATTGCTTCAGTATTTATCTATAGATTTTGTAATTTTGTACGAGTCGATGCCTTAGAAATCAATTCCTTATTAATTCCTGTGAAATTTACCTTTACGATTACTGAAACGCAACGTTTAACTGACAATGCAAAATACATCCTATTAAACCTCTGTATTCAATACTTTGTTTAAATAAAAATTTCAAAAAAAAAAAAAAAAAATAATTAATTAAAAAATAAAACAATTGAAATAAAAATATTTAAAGTTAATATGCCTTTAACTATGCGTATTTAAAAGTATTTTGTCACATGATCATCGCACATTTAAGACAAAAATATATATTATCTTTTTTCGAAAACTCACGCGCACACAAGTGACTTGTAATATATTAAAAATAAAAAAAAAAAAAAAAAAAAAAAAATTTATGTCTCAATTTGATTTCTGTATAGATAACTAAATTTTTCGAAATTTATAACCAACAATTAAAAAATCAAAAAAAATTTTTTAAATTATTTTGCTTATGATTAATCGTAAAGTACTGAAAATGTTCAGGGACTACCTAACTAAGACACTATGCACTTAATATATTAATAACATTTATTTTCAAAATTAAAAATAATCAAAAAGTTATTTATAACAAAATTATATTCTTAGTGTTTAAAGGGCGCGGAGAATTACATTCTCCATCAGTTTTTTTTTTTTTTGTTAATCTACTATTGCATTAGATTAACATTCTGGCATTAGCCATTTGATAAGTTAATTTTCATGATAACTTTTCAGTACTTTGTACTGGTGATGATTCTGCGGACGGTATTTGCTGTTGCGGTGCAAAATTCACTACTTCGTGGTAGACTAGTTCTGCAAAAATCGTGAAGATCATTTAATCATGGCATAAATAGTATATAATATAATTGTAAATAAAAAAGAAGGCATTGGATTGAAAGGGAAAATATTTATTTAGAATGATGAGATGCATTTAAAGGATTTGTAATTGATAAATATGTGAAGACGAAAGTTTAAATATTTTTCATTTTATGAGATATATTTGAATATTTGAATATATATTAAAATAATTGCTCTGGCTCGACTGAAATTAATTAAAAATTACAATATTTACTTAAGATTTTTAAAAACAATTGAGAGACTTTGGTCTGTTAAGCGATAAATATACCAATAATACCAATATATACCTTTCCATTTTTCGACTGGCAATTCCATGTCCTCGAAGCTTTGATCATAGGGTGAGGATACAGGCTCATCCGTAGGATCGGCATACTGAGCAAGATAAGGATGCGCCAGTGCTTGTTCAGCGGTTATCCTTTTCTCTGCGTCCAACTCCAACATCAGTTCCAATAACTCTATAGCTATAAATGATAATGTTAGAGCTTCGACAGTGTTGTCAGATATTAATTATTGCCGATTGAAAGCTTATTATTGCTATCGCTATTTATACAACCAAGCCTTTCCCCTATCCATTTCATTTTCGATCTTTCTACAGTCGAACCAGCGAAAATTATGACTACACTATCGACTGGACACGCAAATATAGTGTCAGTGAAAGAAAAATAAAAAATAAAAAATAAAAAATAAAAAAATTAATACGAGCCTCACATCGTGGCTATTAATTGAATTTCATTCATCACATTTGGATTCAATTCAATAATTTATTAATGACAAACTGTAAAATACAAATTCTTTAAAAGTATATAGAGAAAATTATTTTTTTTTTAATAAATTCGTACCTAATGGATTCGCTCCTCGGAAAACTTCTTTAAAATTTTTTTTCTTAAGCCGCGGCAGACTTCGTATATAATTTCTAGCCTGAAAATAAAAGTCATCCATATTCCATTTTCAGCATCGTTAAATCATTAGGTAATCTAGATTAACTATGTACGAAATAAGAATAAAATAATACGATTAAATGTTAATATTACTAAATTTAACAAATTCTCCAACTTTTCCAAATCCACCAAGTCTAAAAAGTATTTATTTTTTTTCTCAATTATTTTATATTTTCTCCGTTTAAAATTTATATTTCATCATATTTAATGGTGATTAATTCCCATTAACAGCTACGTATACATTTTTAACTATCTCAAGTATTAAAAAGTTATTTTTTACAGTCATTCAAATTCATTTCTATCATATTACTATATTGGTTTTTTATTTTCAATTCTACATACTCTTTACACTTGGCTCATAGAGAATACAAGACGACTTATAAAAATCTAAGTCAAAAAAGTTCACACACAGTCATTGTGAAAATAATGATCGATACAACAAGTTGCACAAAGTTCACAAGTAAATAATAAAACTAACATATTCCACATTCATGAGAAATGCAATAATTGTTATTACAAATTAATTAAGAGTAAGTATAATAAAACCAATTATATTTAAAATTATAAAGATTGTGTAAGTTATATCGATTGCAAATATTAAGGCCAATCAAAATCTATCAAGGCTTACAAATATTAAACTATCGATGCCACGTTACGTTAACGTACTAATTCATTATATTATAAAATTTTTTCAACATTTTAAGTAATAGGAAATATTTATATTTTATTATGAAATACCTGTCTCATTATATTATTTGAAAGATGTTTCTAAATAAACATAATTTTTATTTAGAGCAAGTAGAAATCTTATATTTAATATAAAATTAATACATGTACAATAAGAAAAAAAATTGTGTAAAAAAAACTCTATGTATAATATTTATTACATAGATTAATTTATTATGGAAAACATAGTAAAATGACTATCAAAAAGGCTTTCATGCTAAACCTCTCTCAATTACTATTAAAAGTTATCTTATTGCCTTCTTTTATAAAAAAAAAAAAAAAAAAAAAAAAAAAAAAAAAAAAAAAAAAAAAAAAAAAATTTAAATACAACTGAACAGAAATCTTATAATATAAAAGTCATAATATAAGGTTTCATTTTGTTCAATTATTCATATGCTTTAAATACACTATTAAAAAAAAAAAACAACAAAATTTAATCTATTTTTTACGAAAAATTTAATTTTGAATTGATTTTTTTTAAACCCGAATTAAGTGGCCAATTTTTAAGTATGTTGTTTGATCTTGTGATCTAATTTTTTCTTTACTAAAGGAATTTTTACGTCATTCAAATTTATGTTTATGGCATTTTTAATATAGAATTGATTTCAATTTAATACCTAAATAACATATAAATTGTGCAGAAAATTTTCTAAGATAGTATGCAATTTATACAAATAAATAAAAATAACACTAAGTAGGTTAAAATTTGCACTAACTTATTTTTAAATGCGTTTTTAATTGCAAATTATACAAATATTACGCCTATTTAAAGCTTTTCCCTTATTTAATTTTATATTAATGCATACATCAATGGACAAATACTTTTATATTTTATCATGAGAATTGGAACGTCTTAATTTATAGGATAAAAATTATAATAGACGTTCACAGTAGCAAATACTTAAAAAAAATTTTTTTTATATTGAAAAATTATCTTCTTAAACATTTTTTCTTTCATTTAATTATATAGACGCTTATGCGTATAAACATATTTGATCACTTTGTAAATGATTTAAAATAGTGAAAAAAGCGTGTACATACGATTCTTAATAAAGGATTTTACAATCCATAATACTTTTAGCTATGATATTAAAATTTTAGCATTTTTTTTTTACCATTATTTCTAATAGTAAAAAATAATTTTCACATGAACCGAATGCTCCTTTCATTTTCACAGTTCTCCTTATTAATTGATTTATTTCATTGCTATTCAGCTAAAAAACGAAGTCATAAAATAAATTAGATTTAAAATTTAAATTTAGATTTTTATCCAAAATATCTATTTACGAATTGATCAAAATACTTAGAATTTTAATATCCTTAAAGTAAAGAACGGTTAAATCTAAATAAATATTTAATTAAATAAATGATTTCAAAAAGAATTTGTATCCATTATATTTTAATATTGAATCGTATATTCATTTTAATTTCAAGTATAAAATTTATTTGAAATAGTCGATGTGACGGTAAGTATATTAAAAATTTAACGTTTTCAATTCTTTTAATTGTTTACATATAAATTGATAAATAATAATAATAAAAAAAAAAAAAAAAAAAAAAAAAAAAAAAAAAAAAAAAAAAAAAAAAAAAAGAAAAAAACTGGCAATCTCATAACATGATTTTGTGAAACTGTATCGGTATAAAATTTTTAAAAATTTATATTAATATTAAACACGTAATTTTATAAATATAAAATGTGAGATGATTTGTAAAAAAATGTTTACCTTATTTAATTTCTAATCATTTTGTAACTAATCAGGATTGTCAATTTACTATGTTTTTATGAAAAACATATATGATTATACAAGCATATTATATTTTGATTATTTTAACACATAGTTATGTGATTACATTAATTTCTTTGTATTTTATTTTATTACAACAATTTATTATAAATTAGTCACTTTTTCTTATTATAATGTTAATATTTTCAAGAATAAAAGTAGTTAAAAAAAAATTTTCTTTTCGTATGATTTACCTCTTGGCTGGTAATTTTTTCCCAAGTTTCCTCCGTGGGTGTACCACAGAGTACTAAAACTCGAGTTAGATGATCCATGTCTGCCCGATTATTGTTAAGGTTTATTCATTAAGCAATACAATAGATCAAAAAATAAGCAATTATGTATGATTGTGAATAATTTAATTTTCAAATTACAAAATATTTTTATGATCGAATTTCTGAACATATTGAACTCTTAGTATATTTATAATTAAAAATATATCGTTTTCCATCATAAGTCTTTAAAATTTAATAGTGAATGTTTATTATTGAATAATAATGTATAATTATCAATCTTTTACTTTGAAGGAAATTGAAAAGCGTTAAAAAATAAATTTAATTATCCCTTAAATATGAAAAAATTTGGGGACGATTGAAAATACATTTGTTTTTTAATTTAAAAATATTTAATATATATGTCAACAAATATTAAATATTTAATATGTAATTCAATAAAAATCAACAATGTACAAGTAAAAAATGATATACAATATTACTTATTATTAATTCGTATTTTTATGAATTTTTATTTAAAGATTTTATTATCGTAAACATTCGTCAAAGTATAATAAATATCCACTTTTAAATGTTACACCTTTTTGTTAGTATATTTTACCTTTTTAAGATTTTTTTAATTTTTCGTTATTTGTAAAAAGAACCTCATAATTTTTATCATTAGTAGATATACCATACCAAATATGATACCAATACCACCATCATAAGCGTAATATTTATAAATACATCTATCTATATATCTATATATGTATGTATATATATATATATATATATATATATATATATATATATAAATTATTTATAATTTAAAAAAATTAACATCTAAATAAACTACATTAGATAACATGCTTAATTCAATAAATATAGTCAGTAAAAAAATTATGCAAGCTGATTGAGTAATGTAAATAAAATTAATGAATAATTAATCGTTCAACTTTAGTCAGAATTTTAAATAAAATAAAAATACATGTAGAATGAAACTAGAAGGAAAATAATATAAATCTTCTGCAAATTCAAATTCTATGCCTATTAAATATGACATATTATTAAAATGTAAAAACATTATTGATCGTAATGATTAAAAACATTTAGTATGGCGTATTCATTATGTTAAATTAACAAATGTTATGTGCTTGAAATAACAGATGCAACTTGGACAGTGTTCACTCGAACTTACCGATTCAGACGATATTTTCTTCATAAACTCGTCACGTGGAGCGCCCAAAATTTCCAGGATAAGATTTAATTGATGAATATCTGCTTTTGCTAAGGTTTTTCTTTTAAAAATACTATATTATTATTCTTAATTTGCTCATAAAAACATTTCTATATTCATCCCAAGCTGTTATTGTAAAACGCAATTATTTAATGAATCTTGATAAAACGTGAACTGAATAATTTTTAATTTTTTATTCAACATTGAGCAATTATGTTCGATATAATTTTAAATAAAAGCTTCAGCTTCAAAACGACAAAATTTAAAAATTTTTACAATAAAATTAGCGTGTATTAGGAAATAATTTTTAAATTAATGAAACTTATAAAATAAATATTTAAAACTCGTATTGATTGAAATTAATAGTTCTGCGAAAAAAAATTAGAAAATTCAAGAGCGTTCACACTGTACAGCTGCAAATTTTTGTCGCACTATTCTTTATTTATTTTCATTGTTTTTAATAAAGCAAAAATAATAGTAATATGCATCAGATCATACATTAAAAAAAAAAAAAAAAAAAAAAAAAAAAAAAAACAACAACATCAACAACAACAACAATAATAATAATAATAACAATAATAATAATAATAATAGTAATTAAAATGATAATAATAAAATTAACAATAATGACAAAAATGACAATAATAAAAATGTAATTAATCCTTAGCAAAAAGCAACTTAAGTTAGTAACAATATGAAAGTTTAATTTTAGAAGGAGTTACACTGTACATTACATCTAAACATCAAACAATTAATAAAAAATACATGCAAGCCAATATACAGTAATTTTTACAATTGTTTATAAAGCTGCAATATTTTAAAAGCAATTTAAGTATGTAAAAAATAGTAGTAGTGATCTGAAAAGGATACGATCCTGGCCTGGAAATAATATTCTTCCCGTAAATAATTCAGCCATTATACATCCAACCGACCATATATCAACTGTAATTTTTATTTATGTTAAATATCTACTTAAATTAAGGATTGAAAGTATGTACAAATAAAAATGTGCAAGCACATATATAAAAGATTGAGATATCGCATGCATAAAAATATATAAGCACATGAATATATATTTTGTCTGGATAGGACCTGTTTGATTATAATGCATCCAATTAAGCATAATTTCCGGTGCCCTGTACCATCTTGTTGCAACATAACCAGTCATTTCATTTTCGGTTGGCCTAGCCAAACCGAAATCTAAAATTTTTAATTCACAATCTTCATTTACTGCTATGTTTGATGGTTTGAGATCCTAAAAAAGTATTTATTTCCATTTTTTTTCTTCCCATTAATATTTAAGATTATTTTGTTTTATTTAATTACAAATATAATTTATAAGCTACAGATATCAAACTTATCGTTAAGATAATCAAGAGCTTTAAATCCAATATCCAGTACGTAATCAAAACTAATATATTTTTCTTTAACTAAATTTTAAGTTTAAAATATTTTGTATTACATAACATTAACATTTTTATATTTATTTTGTTACATTACCTAATTACCATTTTTCAATAAGTTACCTAAGATTTAAAGAGTTTTTGTATATTGTATAAAATATTTATAATATTATATTATATTGCTTCACAGGTACAAACATAACAATGCTTATGTTTTAATAGAATAATGAGAATAATGTTATAGTTTGATTAACAATTTCAGTTTTTTTTTATATACAACAATTAGTGTAAGAGTGAAAATGTATAAAAGTGCTATATATCAATAATTTATTATCTTATAAAACTGGTGCATTAAACGTTTAATCACTTATGATATTTAAAAAAAAAAAAAAAAAAAAAAAAAAAAAAAAAAAAAAAAAAAAGAAGTAAGATATTGTTTTCATGAGATAAGAAGATATAATTTTGTTAGTTAACGTAAAGATAAAACATAATTAACCAATCTATTGTTCTGATATAAATTTTGTAAATATATATTTATAAAACGGCTTTCAAAATAATATATCTCCTAAAATATCTCCTAAAAATAATATAATTTTAATAATAATATTGTTATGTAAAATACATTATATTAAATACCCTGTGAATAATTCCAGCTGAATGTATATATTTTAAACCTCGAAGGATTTGGTATACAAGAAACTGAACATGATCATCCGAAAGTTTTTGAGTCCTAATAATATTATTGAGATCTGCTCCCATGAGATGTGTCACCAGATACCTTTGTTAAATAATATAAAATTATCTAGAGTATAATTTATGATATTTTATTATGATAAAAACTTTATAGATATAATAATGTAGCGTATTATTTCAACTTACACATTTTGAAAGTCTTCTAAAGATACGCAAGGATGAAACACATCTAACAGGCCTATAATCTAAGCGCGATAAATTTAATTAAGACTTATTTTTACAAATTATACTGTGCAATAAGAAATTATTATATAATAATTATGTGAACATTATACATTTTCATGATTCATGTGTTTTAGCATTCTAAGCTCTCTGTAGGTACGTTTTGCATGGACGGCAGATTGAAATGGTCTTGCTAATTTTTTTATGGCTACTTTGCGACCAGTTGTTGTATCCACAGCAGAACTATAAAAATAATGTGTAAGACTTAATTTTTCAAAGTAAAACAAAATTTGAATAATAAATAGAATAAGAATTTACAATATAATTTTAATTGAAATGCAAAGTCATCTTAAATTTATTAAATTAAGTAGATTGTTATTAAAAAATTACTTTTTAAATTATTCATCATATGAAATAGCATTGAAAAAAGTGATAAAAAATTAACTTTTCATTAGTAGTTGTAATTAAATCAATATACATTGATAATATAGCGCTTTAATAATTGGTAAGAGTAAGTTTGAAATATGATTTGATAAGTTCTAAAAATAAAGAAATGGAATCAAGGCAAGACTTAGCATACATATATAATTAAAAAGAAATGTATTTATTTTTGTTTTTCAATTAAAATAAGTAAAAATTATATACGAACGACATATCTTTCTTATATATTTGTTTATTTTTAATTAGCAATGGTAACGATTCCAAATAGCCAAAGAAATTTATATTCATTATCTTACCATACTTGACCATAAGCACCTGAACCCACTGGAGTCAGCATTTGATATCTTTCTGGCACCTCCCATTCTGTTTTATTTATCTCAAGTTTATGAAATTGCGGCATACTTGATACCAAATGCAACTTTCTAAATTACAAGGTCGTAATTTTGCCGAGACTGTTGAAATTTAAAAATTCAAATCTAAGCTGCCGTAAACGGTTCGCTACTTGAAAGACCATGAAAAATATATGACGAAATTAATTTATAGAAAGAAAAAGAAAAAACCCAATATATATATATATATATATATTTAGAGAGAGAGAGAGAGTGTGCGCGTGTGTGTGTGTGTGAGAGAGAGAGAGAGAGAGAGAGAGAGAGAGAGAGAGCAAAACGAAAAGAAATAACACGGAGAATTTTAACAGAGATTATTTCAAAACTCAAATCAACGAAAATCACTCGGCTTAACTCACAAATCCTCTTTTAAAATTGTTCTGTTCCCAACAGCCTATTGCCAGAATAGACGAGGCTCTCGCAATAATACACACCAACAGGTATCACTTTTATATTTATTATCTTTTAAATTTTAGCTCTAAACATTGTGTACAATGATCTACCACAATAAAGTCCGTCTGCCAGTGCCTGAAGAGCGTAAGTGACAGCGCCGTAAACCAGACACCGACACTCTTATTTCAGAATTCAGAATTAGAGTCGTAGAGGCAAGTATGGGCAGACAGATTACCGATCGCTGCGGCCGAATCCAAGGACATTAAAGCGTATACGAACTAGCGCACCTGGTGGACGTACTCGTCAACTACAATAATATCTTCAAGTGCAGTGGATTGTTGCCGTAGCAGATCGACGAGACGAAGCGTTTGTTGAAGCAAACAATTAAGTACAAATGTCATGGCGTAAGATATTTAATTTTTTTGTTTTTTATTGTACCCACATTACATACGATGTGAATTTTATAAAAAAAGAAAAGGAAAAAAGGCAAAGGCAAGTATAAAGAAAGAAAGATATAAAGATCGTTATATCGTGTAGGTAATATAATATTTATAATATTTATAATATTTATAATAATACTGTTATATTACTGTCATTATTATTATTATTATTATTATTATTATTATTATTATTATTATATTTTGTTTTTGTATTTATATAGACGTTTTCAATGATTCCTTTCCTATAATAATTTTGTCCAATGAATTATTCTTTATTTACTTAATTAATTGATTAAAACGATAATATATTATATATCATATAATTATATCATCATGTAAAACCATGAATTAAAAGTAATCAGTATACTGTTTTGGTGATGGCAGTAGTATGTGTTGATAGTAGCAGTAGTAGTAGCAGTAGTAGTAGCAGTAGTAGGAGAAGTAGTAGTAGTAGTAGTAGTAGTAGTAGTAGTAGTAGTAGTAGCGGTAGCAGTAGCGGTAGTAGTAGTAGCGGTAGTAGTAGTAGTAGTAGTAGTAGTAGTAGTAGTAGTAGTAGTAGTAGTAGTAGTAGTAGTAGTAGTAGTAGTAGTAATGTATATGCATACATGATGCGCGCCTGTAATATAACATGATACATTTTATCATTTTAAAAATAAATTTATAAATAATATTTATAAAACTTACTATATAATAAATATATAACAAAACTGAAATTCAATATATTTTCATATACTAGTTTTACGATTTTTTTCGCTTTTATTACAATACATAGAAAATACGTATCATATTTGAATAAAAGAAAAATAAAAAAAAAAATAAATAAAAAAAACATTTGCTTTTGTAGATCACAAGTTTTACACTGTGCACAATTTACATCATTCAAATCAAAGTTTCAATTTAAATATTGTAGCATGTCATTTTTTTTTTTTTTTTTATATACGAGTTATGCGAGCTGCAAAGAGTCATTTTACCATAGCGAAAGAAATGTTCTATTACACAATTTACAATTTTCAATATTCCGAATTATCCGCCGGCGTAGAGTCCATTGAAATTTCCACGTAGTCACACTCGAGAGCCGCAAGATCTTCGCGACCCTCGATGAATTCGTCCTCTTCCATCCCCTCGCCGATGTACCAATGCACGAAGGCACGTTTATTGAATAGTAAATCGAATTTATTGTTGAGTTTCTTCCAAGCCTCATTTATAGCTGTTGTGTTGCATAGCATTGAGACCGCTCGATTTACCTGGATATCGATGTAATTGTACGTTAAGTTTGTATATTCCTTAAAAAGATATATTTCAGGATAAATTGATAATGATAAAAATGAAACTATGAGCTCTTTATAAAGTAAAGTTTGCGTAAGCGCTTCGCAAAGCTTTAGAAATATTAAATATAGAAATCAATCTGTCGTACAATTATTGTTATGATTCAATTGATGTATGTTTAAATAAAATTCAATGTGCTTAATGATTTGAAAATGACTTTACGAGAATGTATAGCCTTTTTTATTTACGTTTATTTCATTTTTTTTATTTCATTTTAAAATCAGATTATTTGTAATATTGCCATTTAAAATTATCGTTTAAGTTTGCTCTCTTTTAGTTTTCACGTTCCTTTTTCTCTCTTTTTTCTTTTTTCTTTAGATCGTTCACCTATTATGCTTTTTTTTTTCTCTCTTTTTTCAGTTTTTTTTTCTCTCTCTCTCTCTTTTTTTTTTTTTATACATTATATTTATAAGGAGGTAGGTGCCATTAATTTATCAAGCACTCTTGAACCAAGAACGAAAAAAAGTACAGACAAAATGTTTGTATAAAAATATCGTAAATAAACATACGAATGTAATAAAAATTAAAGTAATAAATCATAAGATTTAACAGGATATCGAATATCTTTTCAATTTTCAATCGACGCACTTTTGATAAGTCTCCCTCAGGTACGACAGTCGGCGGTTGATGATTGATTCCAATTTTAAAACCTGTCGGGCACCAATCAACAAATCGTATGTTACTTTTGGATTTTATCATGGCGATAGCTGAATTAATATCTTTTGGTACGACGTCGCCTTGATAAAGTAGACAGCAGGCCATATATTTTCCGTCCTTGACGTTGCACTTGATCATCTGATTTCCGGTCTCGAAACACTTTGAGGTAATATTCGCCACTGAGAGGTCTTCGTGGTAGGATTGGTGATCCACCGATATAATGGGTGCGTTCGAGGTCAAAGGAAAATGTATCCTAGGATATGGTACAAGATTTGTCTGAAACTCCGCTAGATCAACGTTCAGTACACCGTCGAAGCGAAGGGAGGCTGTTATGGAGGACATCACCTGACTGATGAGCCTATTAAGATTTATGTAGGTAGGTCGATCTATTCCCAGTTTATTGCAGCAAATATCATAGATCGCCTCATTGTCGACCATAAAAGTGCAATCCGAATAATTCATTGTCGCGTGTACACTCAATAGGGTATTGTACGGCTCCACCACGGCAGTCGATATCTGCGCTTGCAATAATTATTTCGTTTAGTGAAAGAATAATCGATAATATAATGTTCGTAATAATTCATTTCTCGTTACAAGATCAATAGATTTATGAGAAATTATTAGCGCCTATGAGCCATAAGAGCTACAATAATGTCACTTGTTTAATACGGTCGTGTTGTCAACAATGTCAAGTAAGTCTCGACAATTCGCGAAAATATTTTGAATTTGAATTACTTATTTCAATATTAATGATTGTTCGATTAAATTTTCCATTCAGCTGATTTTCAAGCTCATTGTGGCTTTAACATTATTAACAATGGCCTCTGAATATAACTTTTACATTTCAGAGCTCAAGTTATTCGTATTTAATCGACATTACCACGATCCCTTCTAAATTTTATCCACATTCAACGATTGAACGGAATTAAGAGCAAATTAACGATTAGTTAAACTTAAATGTCCAATCACCCGAGGCGCTGGATAAACGGTGAACTCTAGCTTGCTCTTTTTTCCATATTCGTTCCCTAATTTCTCCATGAGGAGGGATGTGAAGCCAGAACCGGTACCACCTCCAAATGAATGAAAAATGAGGAAGCCTTGGAGATTTTGGCACATTTCAACGGATGATTGGATTTGATCTGTGACCACATTGATAAGTTCCTGTCCCACCGAATAGTATCCACGTGCGTAATTATTTGCCGCGTCTTCGTTGCCGTTAATCAGTTGCTCCGGATGATAAAGTTCTCGATATTTGCCAGTTCTGATCTCATCTGTTCTTACATGATTTACAACACGTCATATGACGTTTATAATTTAATTTATAAGACCACGGTTCTTTTCTATTATTATTATTATTATTATTAATATAGATTAATTATGATGATGATGATGATGATGATGATGATGACGACGATGATGATGATGACGATGATCATTATTATTATTATTATTATTATTATTATTATTATTGTTATTGTTGTTATTGTTATTGTTATTGTTATTGTTATGACGATTATATGCATTTTCATGTTGCTTTTATTATACTTTCTGAACAAAAGAAAAAAAAAAAACAAAAAACAAAAAAAAAACAAAAAAGAAAAGAAAGAAAGATTATAACACTGCATCAATAATGTTTGCGATTATTAGAATCCGATTGAAATTAATGTAACTTCGTCATTGCTATTATGATCTTAATTAGTTATCTTAATTAAAAATGTTAATTCAATGCTCTACCTATTACAGTAGGCTCCAGATCGATTATCAGTGCTCTCGGTTTCTTTTTGCCCTTATTAGTTTCGTAAAAGAAAGTATTACTACGGTCATTGTTGTTAGCTTCTTTACTGGGTGTACCATCCGGTTGTAAGTCATGTTCGAGGCAGTACAGTTCCCAGCAAGCATTACCTATTTGCACTCCGGCTTGACCAATGTGTATCGATAAACATTCGCGTTGTGTCTATATGTAATGAAATGTCAATAGTTAACATGATACCATTTATACATGTGTGTGTGTGTGTGTGTGTGTGTGTGCGCGCGCGCGTGTACGCGTGTGTGTATGTATGGGTGTGTATATGTGCGTGTGTGTGTGTATGTGTGTCTGCGTGCGTGCGTGTGCGTGTATATATATATATATATATATATATATATATAAATAGACACTACGATTCGCTAACCATTTTTATGTAATTTTTGTTTAATGGTTAAATAGACGAAAATTTTGGAAGATTGATATTTTCACTTGAAATTTAAGAGTCTAAAAAAGAATTGTTATTAATTGAAAATTTTTATGTTCACGTTATTGCGCAACGGGGCCTAAATAAAAAATAAGTTTGAACTATTAACTTCTGTGTCTATGGCAACTAAAAAAATGAAAAAAGTTGTTTATTAATTTTTTTTAATTTTTAACAAGCATTCCTGGAGTTTTAGACTTACGTGTTTATTTATAGATTATAAATTATTAATATTGGTAATCGAAAACGATTAATTTCTTGAAAATTGCCAATATTCACATTAATATTGTTTAAATATTTGTATAATATTATATTGTATTAATATTTATTTTTCAATCTTTGACTATATATCATGGGATAAAATATTTTTTTTACTTAATTTATGTATATCTCATATTTTTATCTTGAGCTTTAATTTAATTTTTCCATAAGCTTAATAATAATTGAATAAATTATAATCGAATAAAATCAATAGAGATTAATCGTGACACTTTTCTATCCAACAAAATGTTCTTATTAACATTAAAGCTCTACATAATTCATCATCAATGTTCTAATAAAATAATCTCGTTTTTCAATTTCAATTTCAAACGCATGATGAAAGATTATGAAATATCCCTTATTCACAAAGATATTAATAAAATAATTATTAATTCTTTGCATATTACTTATCAATTATAAGGGATTACAGTATAATTATGTTGAGCTTTAATTATATTACGTAAGTAATTAATTATATAATAAAAATACAAATTCAGAATTATCTTTTTTTTTCTTTTTTTTTTTTTTTTTTTTTGTTCCAATAGGAATTGCACAAGATTTTTTTTAACGTACATTTCAACCGTTCTTGTCGTTATGACTTTTCAACGTCCAATGCAAACCCGAAACATAAAAACTATGTGAAATATAATCTTAATAAAGCATTTGTGTTAAGTCTTAAAACGATCAATTAATATTAATAGAAAATGATTTTCCAATAACTAATAATTTCAACAATAAATAAAAATTTTAATAAATTAATACGAATTATATATATTTATATAATTTATATGTAGATTAAAAATACGGTTCATAACGATATAACTAATATTTTACAAAAATATAAACTATTATAATACGTATGGCGACATTTATTTATGGCTATTCAATTAAAGAGATAATATTTAAATAAATTCGTTTTTTCGAAAAACTCATGTATAAACGATAATGAATAGTGCTTATTAATATCAAAATCGACATTTCATTGAGCCGCCAAGATAGTAAGGTGAATATTTTTATCCTTACTATTTCTACCTATTAATATTAATTATATATTATTAATTCGCAAATGCCGCCGCGAGTCACACTACGATCGAACACGTCTCGTATATTTAACATTGGATTACCGTTCTAATTCTTCATTTTTTTTCTCTTTAACTCGTAACCATGTGGCCGTAGGTAATTTTTCAAATCGAGTTTTATGCATAATTTAGTATTCGAGGAGCATAGTAGTAAATATTGATATCCTTAGCCCGCATTGAAATTATAAAAATCTTTGAAATTGTCTGAAGATGTATCACTTTTCTTGAAAAAACTTTTCTACAAATTCCAAATGATCAACATTAATAATTTGTTAATAATTAATAATTTGGAAGCACGTAAAATTTATCGATTGTTTTTTTACTTTTACAATAAAAAGTAAAAATTTGCCAATTTAACAATTATATTGCACACGATAGATACAGATAAATAAATCTCGATAATTAAATTTCACTGACATAATAATAATAATAGTAGCTATTTTGATGAAAATTTAATACTAATAATAAATATTAAGTCGAAGGTTGTATTTTACATTTATAAAGCTATTACGAAATAATCTCTTTATATGCAGATGTCAATTTGTATGTATATATGCATATATATATATATATGTGTGTGTGTGTGTGTGCGCGCGCGCGCGCGCGTGTGTATGTATGTATATATAATATAAAGAATAGAATAAAATAAATCCTGATAGGAAAAACCTTCGTTTTCATTTACAACAGATATTCGAACAATAGATCGAAACATTTATTAACTATTTCCAAAATATAATTATGAAATAGATTGTATATAATTACGATTATTGCCAAAGTATATGTAAATTGTAGGTTTAAAATTCTCAAAAATTATGTAAAAAATGTTGATTTAAACATGAAATTCAATTAATTATTAAAATAAAAGTTTTGTAAAAAATATTTAAAGCCGTGATTTAACATTTGTCCAAGATGACGTGTGTAATGATCGATATTTATCGAATGCCTCGGCACGATTACGCATGCTTTTTCAAAAGAAAAGAAAACTAAAAATGTGCCCAGCATTCGTCTAAAATATTTTTACATTTAAATAATGCTTGAAGCTGAGACCGCACTGTGACAGAATTTTTCGGAATTACATCTAATAGAAGACAGTCATATTACCATAGTCACACGTATATCACATTTGATCGTCACGGAATAAATTTATGTATATGCGTATAACCTTTTCTTTATAAGTATGGAAAATCATGATTTGGTATATTTCATGTGATTATCCGTAAAACTATTTTTCTTAAATTACCTTTGTGAAATATTGAAAACAAATTTTATATAATAGTAAAGCATAATGACTTCGATGAACGCGGACGTAAGTACTAGTGGCATGGGAGAGTACGAGCCACTGGATCCTTCCTTAAAAAATGTTATTGAAATGCATTCGTTGCGGTGGATATTTGTCGGCGGAAAAGGAGGAGTTGGTAAGACAACCTGTAGGTAGGTTCAAATCGAATTATTTAACTAATTATTATATGGACCGAGTCTGTCATTGTTCAAACATTGTTCAATTTTTAGTTGCTCGTTGGCTGTGCAGTTATCCAAAGTCAGAGACAATGTTTTGATCATTTCTACAGATCCTGCGCATAATATATCTGATGCATTTGATCAAAAATTCAGTAAGGTGCCGACGAAGGTAAATGGTTTTGAAAACTTGTTTGCTATGGAAGTCGATCCAAATGCTGGGATTACAGAATTGCCGGACGATTACTTTGAAAGTGAAACAGGTTACATTTTTCACGCTCTTTCTCTCTATAGATTATAATTTTTAACATACCGTTACAAGATTGCGCAAACATAAAATACATTTCACATTTCCAATGTCACAGTATAGATTAAGCTCTGCATTAAGTATAATCTTATTTGCACGGTATATTATAATTTGTATTAATATGTTGTCTATTTTAAGCTTTTATAATTAAATTTATGATTAAACTTAGAATTAAATATACGATATTAAAATATTTTTCATATTGTCCATTCTAATTTCAAAGCAATTATAATGTTTAATTTTTTGTCCACGCGTTCCCACGTAAAGACAATGGTAGTAGTAATCTAAAAATTTGTTATTTCAATTTTTTCAAAAATATGATTTATAATGAAGAGTAAATAAAGCAGATTGATCATTATCATTTATTATTATATTAATTATGGCAATTTAATAATAATTTCAATTTGTTTAATTCATTATTTCAAGTCGCAACGTAATCATATATGATTTTGTGAGCAAAATTGAATAATTTTTAGGAATTGGAGATACCATGCGGCTAAGTAAAAGCGTTATGCAAGAAATAGTAGGAGCATTTCCTGGTATAGATGAAGCTATGAGTTATGCAGAAGTGATGAAGTACATCTTATTTTAATTATCAATTAATATTGCTCAACAAGCCATAACACTTATTTTATTTTTAGATTAGTCAAAAGTATGAATTTTTCTGTAGTTGTGTTTGATACTGCTCCAACTGGTCACACATTAAGACTCCTATCATTCCCACAGGTAGTTGAGAAGGGCTTAGGGAAATTGATAAAATTGAAAATGAAGATAAGTCCATTTATTACACAGGTTTGTTAATTATCTAAAATCATTTATTACATGGTTATAAATTATATTCTTAAGAAAGTTTATATTTACAGTTCAGTTCATTGTTGGGAATCACTGATTTTAATATCAATTCATTCTCAAATAAAGTCGAAGAAATGCTTGCTGTCATTCATCAAGTTAATGAACAATTTAGAAATCCAAATCAAACCACTTTTGTGTGCGTTTGTATAGCAGAATTTTTATCATTGTATGAAACTGAAAGATTGGTGCAAGAACTAACTAAATGTAGCATTGACACTCATAACATTATTGTCAATCAATTATTATTCCTTAAAGACGGAGATGCCCCATGTAGACTTTGTCAGGCTAGGCATAAGGTTCAAGAAAAATATTTAGATCAGGTACATTTTTAATTGTGTTCTTTGGTGAAATAAATATACTTATATATATTAAATAAATAAATTTATATTGATGTATTTTATTTTAACAGATCAATGATTTGTATGAAGATTTTCATGTAACGAAACTGCCATTATTGGAAAGGGAGGTTCGAGGAGTTACAAATGTTCGAGAATTTTCAGATAATCTTATTAACCCATATAAACCATAACTATTAAAATGTATATGTTTATCAATTTTTTAACAATATTCCAGAATATATATAAATGAATTAAAGTAATTTTTTTCAGCTTAGGTGAATAGACTTCACATCTATATAATATTTAGGTATATGTAACTGTAAAGTATAATTTGTATCAATTTAAAGGCAAAATTTTCAAATCATATCTTTACATTTACAAGCTCTAAATCGAATTTAGACAGATAGAGGAGACTTTCTAAATTATTTTACAGATATTTTAATAAGATTCATAAATATAACTATGTATTATTATGCGATCATTTGTTAATTACATTACATTTTATAAATAATATCCTTAAATTTTTAGACTTAAATTTAAGATGATTTCAAATTTGTAAAAATAATACAAACGTTTTCCAAATACAAATAAATAATTTTTAAAAAATTATAAATATTTTTCATTGAGTTTATTTCCATAAAATGAAGTCTTTATCTTAATATAAATTTGTAGTATTATTTAAAGTAACGAATTTCCATTTACAGAAAGTGACTTTAATATACTAGGTTTCCAGACGATAAAATGGAAATTTTTTTTTTATATTGAATTACATAAAAGATTAAAATATATTTCATTAAAATGTTTATTCGTAGCATTGTTATTAATCTGTTTTTATTGCATTTTATATATATATATTTTTTTTTTTAATTTAGTACATTTCACATTGCATAAATTATTCACGAAAAATTTATTTTAACATTTATAATTATTATATCCAACGAAAATGACATTAAAATTATAAATATTTAAATAGAATATGTATTTCATACATAATTTTATAATTATTACAATAATTTATATAGAAGAGGAGAAAAATGAATCGGAGATATTGTATTAATTAAATATATTTTATTATAATTTTTGAAATAGTTATTTTACAAAATTTTATCAATAGTCAATAATGAATTTTATAAAAATCTAGTGAAACATATATAAAAGAATTGAATTAAGTAAAATTTTAAAACACGAATGATCGTTATTTATTTTTTTTTTTAATGTAATTTTAATATATCATACTAATGCAAAATAATTAATTCTTTTTTTAAAAAATTCAATTGAACTAAATATTTTAATTTGTACAGTGTTTGTTTATCACAATGTTTATTTACTTCAATGACTTCAATTATTTGTAAACTTTTTTAATATTGACTCAACCTGGAATATTAATCGTAAAGTAAATATTTAATATTAAAAGTAGTTTGTATATTATTTTTATTCCCTGCATAATTAATTAATATCTAATAATATATTAAAAATATCTAATAAATTAGGTATTATGAATTAGTATGAAAAATTTAAAGTATTTATTCTTCATTTTAATTTAATGATATTAGAAAATTCTTTTAAATTGAATATTTCTAAATGATGTGCTAGGTTTTGTAATTTAATATATCGCATTTTAACAACCCTTTTAAGCATATTTTATCTTAAAATTAATAACGTAAATTAAATACGCAACTAGCATTAAATTTATGAAAAAAAAAAACAAAAAAATTAAATGCTTTTGGTGAAGCGATTTGAAGACATTATATAAAATTATTATATTCTTAATAATTAAAAATCTTTTTTTTTTAATTATATGCTACACAAAAAATATGCAAAATTACGAATTGCTTTAAAAATTTAAAAAATAATATAAATTCATTTATTGACTAGTCATTCGCGAATTAATTAATAATAAATAACATAAATATCTATAGTTTTAGAATAAAACTATTAAAACACAAGCATAATAAAGTATGGCTTATATAATAATATATAATAATTAAAATATTTTGTTTAAAAAATTATATATACATATATTAAATGGGAGATTTCATTTCCGATTTAGTTATAGTTGATTGTTTTTAATGCAATGTAATATGGTTCAGCAAATGAAGTAGGAATTAAAATAAATTTTAAAACGCGCATATATATTATATTTTTCAATTGTTTTGATATGTTTATAGAAGAAATTTATGAAAGTGGAAACTTATTTTTTTTTTAAATATATAATACCGCTTGTGCAATTTGTGTTTCAATTTTAATGTTTAAAATAATCCTGTAAATTTAATAATTCAGAACAGGAAATAGTTTTATTTATCAGGAGAGGATAATTTGTTTAGTTTTAATATTTACTTAAATTTAGAATTATTTTGTTATTGTATACAAATGTATGGATTATGTATAGTATCTCATGGTTTATACATATTGTAATTTTTTTTTTGTACGTATTGTAACGATTATGTCATTTTGTTTAAGCATGACATATTCTTCATTGTAATTATTAATTGATACATGGGTTGGTTATAAATAAATAGGACTTAGGGTCTCACAATTATCTCTCTCACTTGTCTTTTTCATTTCATTTTTCAATGCGTTTGGTGTACTATTTTATTTAATATCATTTTCCATAATTCAAAAGTAAAATTAATCAATGAATGGATAACAAATATAATATTAAAATGAAGTAACAGAAAAGCAAAGCGGCACCTTCTTGACTTGTAATAACAAAATGTGAAATGAAGATTGAAAATATTTTCAAAACTTTATTTGAGTGATAAAATAAATTTAAAACATGTTATCAATAATATATCAATTATAAAAATATCAATTAACAATAAGAATAATAAAGTTTCTTATAATTGAGTAAATTTATCTGAATTAAAATAGTTCATCAGGAAAAAAAATTAACCAATACAGTGTTAATAATTGAAAATAACTGTAGAATAAATGAACAAGCAAGAAAATACAATCCAATATAAAAATATAGTACTGAAAATCAGTATTTATTTATAGTATTGAGCATTTATTCACGCTAATTGCATATGCCAGCTGCTGAATAATATCAATTAAAGGTACGAGTGCAAAGTACTATGCAAAACCTTGTACATTGCAAACGTATATAGACTTTAAGTCAATCATTGAGCAGACGAGGAAAAAATAAAAGGCCACAAAATGCTCAAATTTAGCCAACTTTAGATAAAGAGGAGAACGAATTGGGGGATATCTGGATCACTCCTCCAAATCCAGATCCCCTAATTCTTCTTCAATGCCCTCTAAATCTTCATCCATAAAGAGAGTTTCATTGATGGTTAAAGCTATGGCTTGATCTCCAACTGTTTTAAAAATAAATTAATATGAAAATTAATATTATACGGTAAATTAATAAAGATTATTTCGCAAAGCTTAGGACACTAAAAGACGTAAATGATTTTTTCATAATAGTTAATAATAATAATTATTAACTAATTTAATTACATAATAAATATATACGAATTTGTAAAACTGTAATCCATTTTAAATCAAATTATTATAACATTGTATAAGTTTATATTAGTGAAAATATCAAATACGAATGCTACTGCTATTCTGTCTTATTTATAATTTAAAGCTTTAATATTCTTGTAGCATTTATATTTTAGAGTCCTAATCTTTTTAAAATGCTAATATAAAAGATGCAAAAATATTTTACCAGGCACTACACTTTCATTGTTATTAACATTGTCCTTCAAATCAGAGACTTGACTAGAATCTTTCAATTTGTTGTTATGTTCAGCTGCTACAGTACATATTCCAGTGGTATCAACTTGGCTTGCTTCTAACACAAGTCGATCTATATCTAGTTCACGATATTCTACATTTTCTTCGTCTTCTTCACGATCGTAATGTACAATCGCTTCATCACCATCGTCATCTACTGAACCTAAACAATTCATTAACTCGTTATTATTTCATTTATTATAGTTCTCATTGTCATAATTAATTATATCATTATGTTATGTCTTTGTAACATTTAACTAAGTATTATTTTATTGCCCTTAGTCATGTATAAGTCATGTACAAATAAAATTCTTACCATCACCAGCAGCAAGATCAGGATTAAAGTAGAACATTTCTCTTCCAGAAATGCCAACCTGGCGACCGGCTTTAAGGTCATTTCGTTTTTTCTCTTCCTCTTTAATAGCTTGTTGCTGTTTTTCTCTTAGTTTTCGCTTTTTCCAAGCCAAGAAAGTCTCCAAGGTTATCTTTGTCTATTAAAAATAAAACAACGCTCTTGTTATTAAATAAAAATAAGCAGATAAAAATATGCAGAAATTATAATTAATTTAACAATGACAACTGTTTGTTTATAAATATTTTTTTATTATCACGATTTTCATTATTTATAAATGTTTAGATAGTTAATGATAGTTAAATTTTGAACAATAATTGAACATTATAAAATAAATCGGGTTACAATATTTATAACTTTTTCACGCGCTCTTATAAATTAGCTTAAAATCTATTCCATAATAAAATGCTAAATAAGTATATTTAATAATAAATGGATGTACTTACTTGATGCGGTCCTAGATTAGCTCTTTCTTTTTCAATAAGATCTTCTAACGATATTTCATCTTTCTTTTCTTCTTTTTTAATGTCTTTTTTTAAGACAAAACCAGGTGGTAAAGCGTGACGATAAAAACATTTTTGACCAGATGGACATTCCCAAAACCAACCATATTTGGATTTCTCTACAGCCTCCAAAAAATGTTTGCAAATCTAAATAAAAAAAAAAAAAAAAAAAAAATTATGAAAAAATTATTCGACGACTCAAATATACAAAAGAAATTTTATTATATAATCGATAAAACATACGATGTCAGTTGTAGGTCTGTTTCCACCAGTCGCGTGTTTCTTCTCTACAACTTGCTTTAACTTATCTTCGTCCCAATCGTCCATAGTATCCGTTTCCTTATCTGCATCTTTATCAACGTCACAGTACAGTGATCGTTTCTCTGCTTTTCTTTCTATACTTAAATCGTGTGAAAATTTGCATTTATCACCCTTGGTGCATTGTCCTTGTTTGAAGAATGTACAAACGACCGATTTTGGATCAATTCCTGAAGAAATTCATAATTATCAATAAATTGTGATCTTTTACTTAATTTTCTTACAGTCTCTAGAAGAAAAGAGGAACCTTTGTCGATTTTTTGATGCTGTATAGGTTTAAATATTAGGGCTAACTCTTGCTGTTCCTTTAATTTTTTTTCCTTTTCAAGCTTCTTAACATTAGGATCGTCTAGTTTACGTGGATGAATACCTCCGGATTTAACTTGTTTCTCTACTTGTTGAATAAATTTTTGTTGCTTGGCACCTTTTTTATTTTTAATACCAAAAGTTTTATCCTTAAATAATAAATGTTGTCAAATACAATAAAGATAAGAAATGAAAAATAAAAGAGTGAATGAGAAGGTAGAAAAAAATAAATAAATATTGTAAATTTTAATTGAAATACTAATCGGCATGTGCACACATTTTTGGTAGAGTACGTCTGCAAACTTACCTCTATAACTTTTTCTTTTTTCTTCTGTTCCGTTTTTTTACTTGGTGCCGGAGCTTTTTTCGGTGGCATTTCAACAGTTTATTTACGTATCTTCGAATTTTTAAAGCAATGTTAATAATATTCTAAGAAAATTAATTGAACCTCTGCGAATTAGCCTATTCAATATTTTATTTCTTTAATTAGGGAGTCTGCTAGAAAGGGAATACGGAGAGCAAACAAGATCACTCGTGTTTCATTAGCGCCGCCATATTGTAGATAATGTCTTGATCTGGATCAGCTGGTCTATAAATTTTATTATCGATCGATACATTCAGAAAATTGGAAACGAATGATGAAATCTAAATAAATCATACATCAAAGTAGTGAGAGAGAAAAGATGATTAATTATGTATATTTTTAACAAATATTTCCTTAATTTTTATCGACTATTTACATTTTTTGAATTCAAAATTATAATATCGTTATTACCTAAAAATTTTAAATAAAATGTGAAAACAATTGTAAATTATTATAAATAATATTAATCTATGTCTTTTTTCTTTTTTTTTTTTTTTATCATTTTCTACTATTATTATATATTATCAAGTGTCCATATTTTTAAATTGAATATAATTTTTCAAACATTATTATTGAACTTGGGCTTTTAAAAATTATACGCTATGCCATTGGCTTTTAGTTTTTTAAACAAAAAATAAACATTTAACATTAAGGTGTGATAATATTTTTTTAACCACTATCGAATAAAAATCGGCGGATGATTTTGTAGTTTCACAATTAAAAATCATATTTGTGAGAATAGATTTCTAAGTCACGTTTTGACAAATGAAAATTGGTAAATTTATGGCTTTAAGAAAAATCTAAATCTGCATTCATTCCGTACAACGAATTATTTTCCATCTTAATAAATAGCCGATCGTAAATCAAATAGATTATCGTCTTGATTCAAACAAAATATAATTATTTGTTTATTTCTTCATTTGAACATTATTTTTAACCGGGAAACTGTTTTGTCTTTCATCACTTTCCACCTCGACACTTTATAATATGTGTAAAAAAAAGTTACATCAAAGCTTGAATTATGAATACTCCACAAATTATTATTTTCGCCTCGGCTTTAAACGTCGAATGTAGAGTCAATTCCTGTAAAATTTATTCAGTTAATTGTTAATTTTACTTATTGGCCATTTTCTTATCTAACTCTATTAAAGGTTGCGTTCATTTGCAGTCAAATAATTAAAATTACATAATATGCACTTGACGTTTAGACAAAAATTTTTTTAAATCGAATTAAATAATCTTACTCATTGTGACAATAAGAAATAGATGACAAGAAGGGAAGTTCAAGACAGATTATGATTAATTTTCAATTTTTCCAAGCCGTATAGACAAAATTCTCAAGTCAATCGTACGCTTAGCTTTTCTATTTAGGGGGAAGGTAATAATATAATTTGGGATAGATAAATATTGTTTTTCTAAAACAATGCTTATACATGTCTTTTTGGTAGAAAATATACCAACTAATTAATATATAATAATCGTATAATCAATATATTTAGAAAAAGTTCTTACGATCGGTATAATTATTAACTTTACAGGAATTCTTTTAGTTTTAGCTACTTTTTATCATCTACAGTATAAAAAAGAAAAATTCAATAAAACACATTCATTATAAATAGACATTTATTATATAAATCTTTAGATATTTATAATTCAATTATCTAAAAATGAAATCAAATTTGTAAGAAAACTTTGAAATTTATTATTGTATTTTATAAGATTTATATAGAAGCATGTAAATTTTCAATGAAATATATATATTGTGAAAAACATAAAAATCTGTATTATTACTTAAAGAATATGTTGCTTTCAGCTCAAAGGTAAACAAAAGAATTTTAAATTTTAATATATTAATAATGATAATTTTATATTTCAAATGTTAATATTTTATTTATAATTACTTAAAGATATTTAATTTATTAGAAATTGTTTGTGATAAATGAAAAATAGCAGATAATAGAAATGACAGTATATTTATATTTTTAAAGATATATTAATCTATTTCTAACAGATATAGAGCATTCCGTTAAATGAATAGAATACTAAATTTCTATATGGGTACTAATGGTAGTGCTTTTAAAAAGTTAATAAATTAATTTATTTTCAAATTTTTGTTTCATAAAAATATAGTAATAATTTTAATAACTGTAACAAAATTTTCCACTGATATCCAGCATATAGATTTATTACTGTGGCACTTTGTTAATCTTGAACAATAAATAATAAGTAAATAGCATGATATTGTTAATAATAGAAAATTAGTTAAAAATTTATTAAAAATAGAATTTATATAAAATTTTATACATGATATTCACCTCCGTCTAATTTTTCATCAGTAATCCACCATATTAATTGTGTACAAGTTTCATTTTCTAAATATATAAGACCTATAAAATATGACTCCAGTATACCTAATAATGCACCAGCGATAACGTCAAGAAGATAATGTCTTCTCATTAGAATCCTTGAAATACAAACACTTATGCTCCAGCATAATAACGGTATTACAAATATAAAATTCACCGGCCAATTATTTAAGAAAAAATAAGTAATAAAAAATGCTCTTGACGAATGACCAGAAGGAAATGAAAATTTATCAGGACCTATAACAAGTAATTCATCCTGTTTTATTGGTCTGCGCCTTCTAGTAATTGCTTTTATTATAGCAACTAATCCAATATCTAGAAGCAAACCTAAACAAAAATTATGTAAATTTAATATTAATTAAGAAATATCAAACATACTTTTTAAATAACTTGATTTATTTATCATTAACATACAAATAAATGAGGACAATATAATAATATATATCGATATAAGGTAAATTCACATACTTACCTAAGAATAAATTAATTTGCATTTGATACAAGTTTTTATTATTAAACATCCAAATAAAAGCACACCAACATGGAATCCAAAGTAATCCATGGCAGGAAATCTGTGTAATAATTATTTGTGAGAATCTACTGTACTTACATAATACAATTGATCTCTAAATTTTTACCTCAAGTAATTGGTAATGATTTTTGAGCTGCCTAAAAGCTAATATTCTTTCAATTGATTTAACAAACTGATCTGTCAAATTGATATCTATAGCTAAAATCTTTATAAGTATTAACGGTAAATTCCTTTTTTTTTCTGCCTGTAATAAACAACAATAATGTGAAATAAAAAATGTATTTTAGATTAATTACTTTGGCAAATATCAATTTGTATTTCTAACCTTATTCATGATATATCCAATTGTTGACTGTCAAGCTGCACAAAGTTAAGAAAAAATTCACAGATAAATATTTGGTAATGATATATTTTATTCTCAGATAAGCTTATATTAATATATTTATTTGGGGATGACGTCATACCTATACTGTATTAACTTATCCTTAATCTTATATTCTAAAAATATAAATTTAATCATTTATATTTAATCACCACCACTATATAAAAATGATTATTTTTACATTCTATAGACGTTTTCCATTTCTATAGATTATTTTTACATTCTATAGATTGTTACTCAAAAAAAAAAAGAAAAATCAACGCACTCGTGTAGTATTCTACTATGGCAAAAGATTACATATATATATTTCCGGTCATACAAATGATATAAATAATATAAGCCAACCAATTTTGCGAACTGAATATGTAAATTATTGTACATGTTTAAACAATAGTTATCTACTTGAAAAACAATACAATTAAACTCGATCATTTAACATAAATTGAATTCATATATATTAACGAAAAACATCGGCTGGAAACCAATCTTAATCCTTATCTCAGATTAAAATTTTCAGTCAAATTCTGTTTGCAAATCTGCATTGTACATTATTTATATTATATATTAAATATGTGGTCGTGTCGATGATTAGCAATAAATTAATTACTTTTTTTACCAACGCTTTGCTACTACTAGCCAGCTATATAATCTTTGTTATTACAATGTTATAGCTTTTTGGTAATAAAAAGAGATCGGTTTTACCAATTTAGGCTTGCAAAGCATTACTAAATAAATTATTATTAATAATAGCAATTAACGTATTAATAATAGACAGTAATAATTTTAATTGCAAGAAAGTAAAGCAAAGAGTAACCTTATATTTGCATGTATTGTTCAATATTGAAATTAATATACGATTAATTTAATATGTATCATATAATAAAATACAATAAAGTTTTTGAACATTTTTTATGAAAAACAATTGCTTCTTGGCACGTTAAACAATATTTTAAATACTTTATTTATTAATTTTTCATACGTGTAAAACCTATTTAAAGCATCACTCATAATGTATTTGAAATAATGGTTCTTTAATATTAAATAATTTATATCGAGAATATCATATGATCATATATAATACGCAAATAATTATTTCATGTCAACTATGATAAATCGATACAACAGCCCATAATACCGATCGTCGTTAACATTACTAATCACTATAAACATATAATTTCAGCTTCTATTGACCGAAAAATTTTGAAATATATATTTATTGCTAATGTTTACGATGGTATTAAAACATGACACTTTAATAATATTCAAAATAAACTAACACATAATTTTTAAATGCAAATTAATATAAAAAACAGTATGTATGATGGTAATTTTAATGCACTTGATTTCATCATTACAATAAATTAAATTGCATTATATTTTTATATTTTAATTTGTTGACTACTTATAATCCTTTATAAAATATATGTACGATCGCTTATGAAATTTTAATGATGAAGTTTTTTAATATCGACTTTATTCTGTTCGATCTCTTCTTGTATTTAATAGAAATTTTGTCTTAACAAATAGGCAATAAGTTTTAAAAATATTTGAATAAATACTTTAGAAATAAATTATATTAGAAAATTATATACATTTTTTAATAATTAATTAATATTATTAATTTATTTGTTAAAACATGATAATACAAATTTATGTGAAATTAAAATTTTTACAAAAATTAAATAATATTATTAAGCAAAATTGTTAATGAAGTAACTAGAGTTTCATAAATATAAATCTATATTTATAAAATATTTTTATAATACAGTTTTATTTTTAAAGTATAGAATACATTTATTTCATAAAATAACTTGATTTTGTATCTTTTTTCTTTTATCAAAATGTTATATTATATGTTCATATATCGAAAATATATTTAATGTCATATGACTAGCGGATGAAGAAATTTATATATTAATAAACAATATACAGTACATGATTATAAAGAATATAATATACATGTTTAAAAAAATTCTATCTGATTAAAATAGCAGTGATAAATACATTTTCACTCTTAAACGCTTATAACATATATATATATATAAGATGTTTAAAATGTTTTTCATTTATTATCCTGTACTTTTTGAATATCATTATTTATTCCTATATCATTGATAAAATTAATATAAAAATTAACGCTTTGAAAAAAGCATATTTTAATTTTTCCATTATTGACAACATTATTATGATATTTAAGTAAATTAGTTCATATACTTTTAAAATTATATGAAAATTTCTTATATGTTTAATATACATTATATATAATCATTGAGAAAATATTGTCAATGATATAATTTCAATTTTTCACTCCAAATGAATCTGAAATGTAAATAGGATGGGGTACCAAACATCGATCGAATAGATTAATAAAACAGTACAAAAAAGTATAGATCTTATATCAAAATATCATAAATTTTATTAAAATAAACGTGAAGTACATGTAATCTAACATTGTTATATTTCATTCGAATGTTTTACAATAAAAAATTATTAACTAGTAACAGTACGAAAGATTAAAGACGTAAAACAATACACTTAATTCATGGAATGTACATGACATGTTTATGTACAATTAACGAAACATTCGAATCCTACCGTAATAGTTTAACAAGAACAATAACAGTAACGACAATTATACTACTACTACTACTAGTAATAATAATGATAATAATGATAATAATGATAATATTAGAAAATATTAGTTGAATAAATTTATACAACTACCTTTTATACACTTAACAATTTTCGATTTGAGTAATTTTGACAATAACTTTAGAAAGTAGGCCAAATTTACAATACATTACATCACAGAGGATCCAGTAATAACAATTATATATGTACTTATTTGAATACTTTGATTAAGAAATACAGTTAAAATTTTGTTATATTAAATTTTGATTTATTTATAATCTTATCATATATTTCTAAGTTTCATAAGTTTTGTAATTCTTTATAAAATTTAGTTATATGATTTATAGTTGATTTATGCTTACTCAGAATACTCTATTTGTACTTATAATTGTTTAATAATATCGAATGGTGCAATATTTTAGTTGAAAAAACATGAAATTAATTACAAACGTCAGATTAACATAGTTTACTATCATGTTCCAAGACTTATTTAATATTAATTATTTTAATTATATCGTATATTACAATTAGATATTGTTATTAATTATTTGTCTAAGAATGTAGAGATGTAAAGTTTTGCATATTAAATCTAGTTTTCATTTTCATTTCTGATTTTAATTATAGAATATTCACAACTAATGTTAAATAAATTTGAATCAAAATACAGTTTTTTTTCCCTTAATTTTTAAATAAAAATTAAGTTCAAGCTTCTGCTTTACACTACTATATAATATAAAACATAAAACATTTTTTATAATTTATTACAGGAATGTCACAATTATTTATCATATTGTTTAGAAATTTTTTAAAAGAGTTCCGTTAGTTTTATAATTACAAAAATATGGATTATGTATTAATAATTTCGAAAGGATGAATTCAATAATAATTTTAAAATGAATTTCAGCACATATAAAGATTTTCACAACTTTTGTCATAATCAAAAGCTATTTCGCATATACAAAATATTTTGGAATATCGTCGACTCAAATTTACTATTTTGTATAAAATCTTTAAATTACCTCATCGTTTGTTCTCATTGTACAAAAATCTTTGCAAATATCCTAGTTGAATGTAGTCCATTAGTTAGTATTGACTTCCCTTGTTATTTTCGTTTATTTTATAATTGTTCAAAATCAATTTTCACATATTTTGTTTCTATTAAAATTTATTTCATAAAAGAATATAAATTTATTCATCTTTTTTTTTACCATCATACCCTTTTTATAATATCGTATAACATTTTTAAACTTTTTAATAACTCTGAGTGAAAATTTGCGAATGAATTTCTATGCTTAACTCTATATAAGAGAGAAATAAAATAAATTAATTGGGCAATTGATTTTTAATCATGTTCACTGGGATAAAATCGATTCCATTCATCCTTATAAAATTTCATCGACTTTAATATTTTTATATCTATAATTTGAGTGTGTTAATTTACATTAATTTTATTAATTAAAAGTTTATAAAGTAATTAAAATTCAGCAATTAGACTAATTACAGGCAACTTATTTAAAACATATATTAACTAATTGATTAAATTGAGTATACATGTTGCATCAAATATAATTTTTATCGAATGCCACTATTTTTATTGAAACCAATCTCTTACTGAAAGGACTAGTTAGTGATTTCGTCTTTAAAAGCATTTTTTTGTAATTCTATTATAAAATTGTAAAATTGTAAAATAATGACATAGAAATACATATTTTTAACTACAGTATATTGCTAGCATATCTTTTAAAAATAATTGCAAAAGTTCTATGTACATCCGTATGAATGCAAATTTATATTGTACTAATGTTTTTTGTGCCTATGAAGTTGCCTAGAATTAAATCGCAATATTTATTATTATTCTTACGTCCTTGCAAATAAAGAACTTTGAATGAAATGTGTTTTCGCTTACAATGCAAAGATTTATACATGTTGCATGGCTTTTTTGCTGACAAATTAATAATTATTAACATCTTATATAAGCTAAATGATTTTATATTCCGGTTATTGGTTATTGGTTTGAAGAAAAAGAAATTTAGTTTCCGATTGCCTAGTTTTTAAAAATTTTATAAATTCAGTCATCATTAAAAACATAAATATTATCCAAAATAGCTTATAAATAAATAAAAATAATAAATGTTTGGAAAATAGAAAAAAATATTACCGTTGATGGTTACATACATAATTTATGTATTTGATTTATTCTGTCAAAACATTAATTAAGCCTTAAGATAAATCAAGTGATTTTATAATTTCATTGAAAGAGCTTATAAAATCACACAATATAATGAATTTTAATGGAATGTCTCAACACATATTTTACAACTACATTATAGTTTAAATTAATTTGGTAAAAATTGAATTACATAATTCTTAAATAATAACTTTAATTGAAAATAATTTTATAATTATTTGGCTGATTCTGGTACGCTATATTGTCTTTATGTAAAATGTAACTTTAATTTACTAATACATAGAAAATGTGAACTATTTCAAATAGCTTTTTTAATTTAATGCGTGTTAAAAATTACACAAATAAATTTATTGTCGATTAAGGATATTGTAAAATTTATATAAAATGTGTAATTGTAGGAATATAAAATAAAAAAATATACAAAAGAAAATAATATAATACAATATATGATTACAAATTAATAGAAATTTGAATCCAGAAATAATTAAAAATAATAATGTACTATCAATATAGATAAAATAGAGAAATAGAATGAAAATATAATAAATTTTATAATTAATGATTGATGAAATTAATTGAAAATTATTAATATTGAACAATGAAAGACATTTATATTCCTTTTCATATTCTTTTCTAATTTTTTATATTTTACACTGTAATAATTTTTTCTTATCACAGAATAAAATGTATATTTATTTCTTAATCGTTAGAATGAGGATCAAATTTTTTCCTTAACATATTATTAATTTTGAAAAATATCCAATATTGCGAATCCAGAAAATAATGTATAATTTAATTAAAAACAAAAACAAAAATGATCAAATGTTAAATTTTGACATTTCATCAAAAAGAAGTCACAACCAGAGAGTGGCAAGGCTTAAAATACCCATAATAATATTAATATATTCACAAGTGTGCATGGAGATGTCAAATTTTTGATAATTGCTAACTTAGGTTAGGTTACTAATATGTTAAAATAAATTAATTAAATTATGATTTTAAAATGAAAAAATCATTATGTAAATAAATGCACTGTATCGGTAATGCTTCTATCCAAGAATTGGGCTGCTAATTTACAATAAATAAGTACTAATCACATAATTAAATAATAAATTAATTTTAATTACGTAAGTATAGCGATTGGTTTTGCAATTCTTCAATGGGTCTGACTTGTGTTCAAACTATTTAAACTAATATTATACCTTTGAATTTCATACAAGTAATATTATTCAGTTTAAATAATTTCTTTAAATTTATATTTAGAAATGCAAATTTTTTTTTATAAAATATAAAAAATTGTTTAAATTATTATATAGGAATTATGATTAACGTCTTCAAAACTCCACTATTAAATAGTAAAGTTTATATATTCCAGTTATTTCTCTAATAATTATTTAAGAAATAGAATGTCCGTGGGAGATCAAAATCAACTACTCGAACATATTCACAGTAAAATAATATCATTTGTCAATATTGCAAGTATCTTGTTATTATATCGACAAGGCTAAATCACCAACGATGGTGCTAATTGGATATTTATCCATTTTAATCCTCCTGCTATTTCTTTCTGGTAAATTACCAATAAAATATTAATTATTTTTAAAACAATAATAAACGTTTATACCATAAGAGAAGTTTAAAGTTGAAAAATTAAGCTTTGATTATAAAATTTACATATTTCTATTACATTCTCTCGTGTATTTTATGTATACACAAAGAATTTAGGAGGATTAAAAGGGCATTTAGAAAGAAAAAGAAAAGAAAAAAAAAATAGAATTGAAAAATTCTTTACTAAACGTTCTTCTAAAATATGTCTGTTCATTACTAAAAAACAAAGTCTAACAGCGAGGCAATCGCTTTTGATCACAGTTTTTCTTTATGATTTTATTACAATTTTATCTCAAAACCTTGGACTTGAAGAGGGGGAAAAAAAAAAAACAATAATTGTAAACTCAAAGCATCGACAGTCTTATAAAATTATTAAAATTCGAGAAACTAGATAAAAAATTCATTTGATCCCTATCAGCATAATATACTAGTATATCAAATTGCATAAAAAATAATAAATTGTAGCCCTTACTTACATGCGTAATTAGACCATTTACAAAAAAAAACATATTGCAGTTAATGCGCAAAGAAGAGAGAATTACTCTAATATCGGTAATCCCAGATCAGCGAGTCCAAGATTTATATTCTAATATTATTAACAATTTCCCATTAGGCCCTGCTGGAGGAAGTTGATGACCTTTCCCAACAACAAAGCCATCTACGCCAGAGAGATAGTGGTTTTCTGCGATTGGATCGAAACTTTAGTCCACCTCTTCTCATACTCAAAGCACTTACTATCGCTTGATCAAAAGCTTCTTTAAGATCTTCTTGGGTCAACGCGGATGTCTCTACATAACTCGTCGCTCCGATTCTGTTAGCTAACTGATGACCCTGCGTAGTCGTAATAGGCGCCTGTCCATATCTGGCCAACTGCAATGCCAATCTCACATCCGAACGAAGATCGCTCTTTGTTCCAACCTGCAACATAGTATTTGTCATCAAATTCTAATCGTTATAAAAAGTAGAATCGAATAAAGGAATAATCGTTTCATTTTCTTACTAGTATAACTGGAGTATTAGGGCAGTGTCCGTTTACTTCATTAATCCATTTTGTGGCTACGCTATGATAAGATGTAGGGCTTACGACGCTGAAGCAAATGAGGAAGACATCGGTATCTGGGTAGCATAGGGAGCGTAAAGGATCAAAGTCATCCTGACCAGCAGTGTCGCAGAGTTGAATATTGATGGGCTGCCCATCTACATTTACTACAACTGTTCAAGAAACAAACGAATGAGAAAAGAATAGAGATAAAGGCAGATATATGCGTGTGCATGCGCGCGCGCGCGCGCGTGTGTGTCACGGGGCAGGGAGTAAGAGAGAGAGAGAGAGAGAGAGAGAGAGAGAGAGAGAGAGAGAGAGTAACAATGGCATAGAAGCCAGTGCATACTTAGAAAGATAATTGTAGGAATAAAATGGTTCGTATAAGGAATGGTTGGAAGTGGGACTGATTGGTCTCCGAGGCAATGAAGCAGCATGCGAAGGGAATCAATCAAACGACGACAGCCAGGTTATAAAGGGGCTAACTAAAGGATGTTGGTACCGTTGTAGTTGTCGAAGGCAGTCGGTTCGTACTCTGGGGGGAAGCCATTTGTCGAATAGGATACAATGAGACTCGTCTTGCCGACGGCTCCATCTCCTACGAGTACGACCTTGATCCTCGCTGGCTCGTGCTCGCGCGCACTGTGTTGCGACGTAGAATGCAGTTGGGGTTGCTGAGCTGCACCCGCGAGCAAGGGCCTTGTCCACTGGGAGTGCGCTGGAGGGGCTGGCATCCTCGACCCTAACCACCCTCGGGGGACTCGGGGGCGGCGACGCGCCTACCTCTCCAACTCCTTACGACGACGCGGCCATACCCGTCTTGCGTTACCGCGGCCGCGCAAATGGCAACGCCGCCACCGTCCGCAGCCAGTGGCGGAGCGCTCGAGCGGTCGGCGCTCGGCGAATCGCGCGCCACGGCGACCACGAGAGTCGCAGCCCGCAAGCGCAGTGAGAGTCCAAGCAGCGCCGTAGCTTGACAGCGTCCGCGACAACACCTGTTGCTCGAGATCGTGCCGTCGGTCTCCCAGTCCCTCCCTTCCTCCACTTCCTCGCCCCTGTCCGTTCGGAGGGCCTGTGGTCATCCGATGCAGCGCCAGGAGGCGGAGGTCGGCGGTTCGCCGGAGGTGCGCATCCTCCTCTCCCGGCACAAGGCGAGCCTTCTACGGGAGCTCGAGGCGACCAACCTCCTCGGCGTCCTCCTCAAACGCGGCGTCATAACGGAGGTCGACCGGCAGGCACTCGTGAGCAGCGGTTTCGCGCGTCGACCCAACTACGGCAGAAGCGGCGGCGGTGGCGGCGGCGGCGGCGTCGGCGACGACGACGACGACGACGACGACGACGACGACGTAGACGACGACGTAGACGTAAATGGTAGCATCGGCGATACGACGGACGTCGATTTATTCATCGAGCTCATCCAGGCCAAGGGTTTCGAGGCCTTCCGCGAGTTCTGCTTTGCCCTCGAGGCCGAATGCCCCCACGTGCTCACGGATCTCCTCGTCGATCAGCACGCACTTACCGGTCAGTCGTCCAGCTTCGGCCAATCCAACTACCCCGATTACCCCGCCCCGCGCATCTTTCACGGTTCTATCGTTGTTCCAGAGGAACACGAGCTGCAGCTGAGGAGGCAGCAGCAGCAACAGCAACAGCAACAGCAGCAGCAGCAGCAACAGCAACAGCAGCAGCAGCAACAGCAGCAGCAGCAGCATCATCATCAGCAGCATCATCAGCAGCAACTTCCGCCGTCGCCACCACTGCCACCACCGCCGCTATCCCAGCAGGAGTTCAGCCTTGGGCAGAAGTTGCGCTTCAAGGAGGCAACCGAGGAAGAAGAGGAGCAGGAGGAGTTGGCGGCGGCGGAGGAGGTGGATGAGGAGGAGGAGGAGGAGGAGGAGGAGGAGTGCAGGTGAGTTCGGAGCGCGAGAAAATACTACTTACGTCCGTTCGAGGCTTTACGCTCGAGCGCCGCGGCTGGTGCTGAGGCCCGAAGGGAGATAATGGCAAGGTCGTGGGAAGCAGCCGAGGAGGAGTCCCGGCAACCACCCGACCGACCCCATTCATAACATCCAATTCCCGAGCGACGCAACAAGGCTGCTCATGGGCCGCGTGCCACTCGTGTCGAGTCGTGCGTGCGAACGTTGCGCGCACGCGAGACCGAATGCCGTCTACGCGCAGGAAATGTCAATGACCATCTGATTGAAAAACAAGGCTCCCTACCGGCGCTCGTTATGTTCACAAGCGCACACGCATACGCGCGCGTACCGCACATTTGGGAAATGGTTTATGCGCTCGAGCGTTGGCTATTGTGCGCCAACCAAGTCCACGCGTTAATTAATATTCATCCGCGTTATATTTTGGATTCAATTGTTCTATCGAGGTATGTTGGAGCAAATGGATGCGAATGAATTTTAACGCCCCAGTGGGTTTAATAATAATTGACAAGCCGGAGGATTTGAGCGTCGCTACGGCATAATGGAAGTTATGTATCGTTAGAATGATAACGACGGCGGGAAGCAGTGCGCTTTTCTTTCATAGGGCAAGTAGATAATTATTTCAAGGGGTGATGAATCAGGCTGCATGAGGAGTGGAGATTGATAGCAACGTTCTGCGGCGAATTTACAATCAATTAATTAATAGAAAATACGTTTTTTACTTTTAAAAGAATAAAAAAAAAAAAAAAAAAAAAAAAAAAAAAAAAAAATAAATTAATTAATTAATTAAAGAAACAATGGACTATAAGGAACAAGTTACGAACTAATAATTCAAAATAATTCATGTAGATTAAAGGAAACTTTTGGTATTATTGATGTGGGGACGAGTGACGCGTATATTCGAGGCATAATACAAACTCGTGTACTTTTTTTTCCCTTTCCTTTAATATTAGCCGAAGTTTTTCATTTATTATTATTTATTGTTGGTTCATTTTAAAAGGAGGAAAGCCATGATGCTGACTTATTTAATATTAGTGATATTAAGAATACAAAAAAAAATCAAGGAGGCCTTGTGACGACGTGTATATTGCAAACTAGTCAAGAGATATTTAAATTTCGTCCCCCCCCCCTCACCGGGATATCGGATTTTTTTTTGGCGCAAATCTTGATTTAACAATAATTAAATGACAATACGCGAGCAGTATTGCGCACAAACTCTTATATTACTTACTATTAATTTGAACATTTTTGACACGGTATGTATAATGACAATAGTTATGGCCTTTCGTATATTGTTATTTAAGGCGAAAAGAAAAATCATTACGTAGCTGAGTTACGTAGCATTTATCCTTTATATTGTTTCAGCTAATTTTTGGCGTTTAATTAATTTTTTTTTTTTTATGAAATAGAAATATGAAATTTTTAATTTTTTCTAAAGACAAGACAAATATGGTATGTTATTATATGTTATAATATGTTATTTCTCGAAAGAATATTTTCGAGTCTACCAAGCCCAATGTACTTGACGTTTAAGCCAATGCAACCATATTTTTTTTACTTTCATATTTTTATTACTGTCCATATCAACAATGAGAATTATGATTAAAAATTTAAAAAAAAAATATACGTTTATCTCCGTCTAATCTAATCTTTTAGTATTACTATTATAATCAATCTGTTACTGTCATAATATACTTCAGATTTGACAAGAATATGAGAAAATATGCTTTTCTTTTTCTTTTTGAATAATCAATTATATAATTTATTATATACTTTTTTGAATATATATATATATATATATATATATATATATATAAATACTCGGAAATACTCGGTTAATTATTAATAAGACGTAGATCAATAATACATTTAATCCTATTAGTCCACTGATTATATGTTTTATAAAAATCCTTTTATTTCATTCAACGCGCTGCATTAGCATATAATAGGAAAAGAATTTTATAAATCATTCAAATGCCTATTTTAAGTTTTAGAATGATCGAGGAAACGTGTGTGAAATATTGAAATATTGTCATGATTAGATTATAAATGAAATTTAATTTATAAAACATCGAAAAAATTTCCAAATTTTTCGCATTTCATGCAATACTTTATTTATTAATCAAATCATCGTATTATCTTTTTGCAACATCAATCAATTAAATTGAAATTAAATCTGAAAACCAGAAATCGATAAGATAATAACCGATTTCGATTTCGAAACTCGCAATATCACGGTCGCGTATTTAAGAATTAATATAATATAATAAATGTATAAAATTTATCCAAAACTTTAATATCATTTTTCATTCTTATTATAGCAATATTCTTTAAAAGCTATTTTTGAAATATATTTGTTCAAATTTGACTAATGACCACGTAAGAGATGTAAAGATCTGCTTATTTACTCAATATACAATTTTAATAAACAATCAGTGTTTATATAATTCGTTTTCTCATAGCAACGTGATTTTCTTTCATCATTCATTGAAATGATATTACAATAATGCCATTGTGCAATGAAATTAAATCGTTAAGATTTGTTATAAGTTCGTGCAATAGATGTAGTTGTAATTCAAAATAATGTTTATTTCACGTTCCATAAAGAACTTGGGCTGTTAGAGATGTATTTATTTATGTACGGTCGGTACGTCAGATCGCACAATTTTGATCAATATTTCCAATCTAATCGTGGCTGATGAAAAAGTAAATTTTTCTTTCGTTATTGCTCACTGATATAAGTTATCGTTCATTTTTGTTTTCTTTCCTTTTTTATTAGAACATTATTTTCGATATTAAAGTGAATTTACGAGAGTCTCGGAATCTTTAAAACGAAAGATAATTGACATAATCTCTCATTGGGAGATTTTGGTAAAATGCTTAAAGAGCATCATAAAAAATTAATAATGTTAAAAATTTTGTATGTACAACCGGTTTAAAATAAAAATAACCTTCGCAAATAAGAACTGATAAACATTAATCTTTTCAAATAAAGACAAAGAATAAAAATAAATTTAAATTTATTTACTTTCATTGTAGAATAAGGTCTGCATCTTCTCGCTTTGTTTATTCATCGCCATTTAGATATGGAGAGTATGTTCCAAGTGCAAACAATGCCAATGATAAATTAATGATTACTTAACTTCATTATTTAAAAGTGCAAATCTAAATATCTTCAAAAAGCATGGAGATTAAGAGCGTGACAAAAGTAATTTACGTTTTTATGAATATAAAATCAAGTATAATTATGATGTGCTATTTTAAGAGAAAATTTATATTTAAGTTGTTTTATTAAAATTAAAATTATTTTTTCTTTTTTATCTACGATATTGTAACTTAGGAATCGATAGTTACGTTTCGAGGAAGCGGGCGAAACTTTCGATAGCTTAGTTTAATATTTCATTAGGTATGACATTGTTGTAATATAAGTGTTAATGTTGTTTTTTTTTTTTTTTTTTATATCTAATACATTTGAAAAAGAGTTATAATTAATAAAATATACGGATTTAACGTGTAATTGGGATGCGAAAAACAAACCATTTTATATTTGTATAATATTATTCATGCCTATAAAAATAATAGCAATCACTTTACAATGTAATAATATTATAATGTTAAGTGCATTTGTTTCAGTCAAATAAATAATATTCATTAACTAGTCTGTAATTTCAATTCAAAATACATTAGATAAAAAATAGTGGAAATGCTTTTTTCAATTGTTCGGGAGTCTAAATTATACGGAAATTGAACTCTGACAGTCGTAGTGGTTTTTATAATTACCATAAGATAAATCATTTCATTATTAATAATTAAGAAAGAAAAATCGAAAAAACGAAAGACGAAAAGTTATTAATAGAGAATATATATATATATATATTTTTTTTTTTAATTATTGAAAAGTTAATAAACGTCTGTTTATTTTAAATAAATAAATTACAAATAATTATTAAAATGAATACAATATTTCTTCTTTCGTAAATTAAATAAAAAAATTTTTTTTTACCTCTTTAAGAACATCCAATTAGTTATTAAAACTAAACTAAACGATAAATTAATTTTGTATGTATTTGCAAATGCACCCTATCTATACATTTAATTTTAACAACCTTCGATGAAAAATTAAGAATTTTCCTTATGGGTTTTTCCTTCTTGTAAAACAATCTTTTTTTTTGAACGAAGGCATACCCCTATATGTTCATTATTTAGTAACCATTAATGCATTAATCGTATATTCCATTCGCTCTTCACGTTTGTGCATTTTACATATACGCCCACGATTCTTACATAAAAAAAAAAAAATAAAAAAAAATAAAAGAAAACCATATGAGCTACTTTTTAATCGTTAAGTGTCTACAAATAAAGTCTATAGTTGGATCAACAGTAGTTTTATGATTTATTCATTGCAATACATTTGTTATGAGAGAAAGAATGAGTCTCACGTCAATTGTATCAAAAAATCAATTTTGTTTTATTACATTTCTTTCGTCACAGTACCTTCAATAATAATAATTCTAAACTTGTCAAACATCAGACAATTCACGAAGTACAATGTTAAAAGAAGTTATATTAAGGAAGTTGCGCTTGGCCACGTGCAAGATTAAAATTTCAAGCGGCTCGCCGCCAATCTCACCGCCATACGCGACCGTATTTGCCTTATTAGCGACGTTATTAAAATTAAAGAACCCGCTGCTTGGCTATAATTTTAGAATTGGCACTTTTTATCGGCGGAGCGACGGATCACAAAGGCCGAGGAGGCAGGGGCCGAAGCGAATTGCCAAAGTTGAAAAGCTTCCCTCTCGTTGACAACTCGACAAGGCGGCGGCGTCGTCGCTCCGTACAAGTGCACTTGCCCGTGGGGCACGGCACGGGTCCACGGCGGAGTATTAGCAGGGGCTGGTGGGGTAAGGGGGCTTGTGGCGGCGGTGGTAACGGCGACGGCGAAGGCGGTGGCTGTGGCGGATTTGAAGGGGAATTGGGGGGGTTCGGGGTTTTTTTTTTTTTTTTTTTTTGGGGGTTTTGGGTGTGTGTGTGGGCTGTGTGTGGGAGAGGGGGAGGGGGATAGACCAGGCGAAGGGCGAGGATGCCACTGGTGGTGCGCTCCCGTCTCGGCGCGGCTCCACGAGCAGCGAAGGCACAGCCGTGGCTATTAATAAAGCGCTGAATCATGCGCCGACGCCGAGGCTACTAATACCACGAGCCTTGGTGCGCGCCAGTAATGCTCGCGGCGCCGTGCCCCATGTACCGGCATGGGACGCGCTCATGATGCATCGGGTACGCGAGCCACGGCGACGACGCGCCTCACCGGTGCTCGCGCAGTTCGGCTACTTCATAGCCTTGGACAGCATCTACCGGCTGCCGGCGTATTACTGGTGAGTCAATCCTCGGTTAAACGGCGCACATTGTTGGCTACTTACACACTTGCTGGCCTTGCGAATTCGCGCGTGATTTATTATTGAGACTCGTTACATACAAATGCCTCCCTCCCTCCCTTCATCCGCCCCACTCAACCATACCCTATCCCTCCCCTCTCCCTGCCTCCCTCCTGCTCTAACGCCGCCAACAACATCCCGCCACCGCGGAAGATCGTTTCCTGCGCGCGCTTTGTTATTTTCCTCTAGTTTCGCATTTTTATTCCTCTTTTGGTCGCTTATTTCGCCCGAGCTCTTGTATCTCGCTTATATGTACAGAATTCGAAACAATCAAATAGACACAGCGCACACGCTTTATCGGATATAAGAAACATAAAACAACAGCAACATTAACATTCTGCGCAGTTGTAGTATCTACTAAATATAGAGATCTAAGGTAAAAAAAAAACAAAAAAATACCGTTACGAGACTATGTTCTATTTCAAAGTTGATGCATTATACGCATAATTATTATAATTAATGTAATTAACTTGTTATATAATGTATAAAGTAGCCTTAGAATGATACACTGGCTTTTGGAACCGGTCCTTCTTGTCTACTGATTCGTCGAGGTTCAAATAAGTAGCCTTTGTGAATTTGGTAATCGTGAGTTTTTCTCAAATGAAGCGACGTAGAAAATAAACATAAAAATATAAAAGAGGAAAGGGGAGATGAATGAGGCGAGTGGTTGGGGACAGTTGGGTGGGTGGGGTGCGTTAGCGTGTGCGTGTGAGTGCGTGCGCGCGCGCGCGCGCTTTTGGGCGGTAGGGAGGGAAGGGAAGGAAAGAGAAAGCGAATGAGAGGGTTGTGACAGGGAGAAAGGAGTAAGGAAGACAAATGCGCTATCGTCGAGGATAAAAATGGATTAGTCGAAATTAACTATGTATCCGATGTAGAAAAATATTTCGTCTGTACACTCTTTTTGCATACTGTATACTGTACACTGTATATGCTACGACATACTGTTTACTGTTTCAACTAGATAAATAATACGTGAGTCAGAGTGGTGAATACTTGGCATGTATCGAGCATCCTTAGATCTCGCGTAAAAATACTAGAACCGACTGGACGGGTATCGGGCGCCGCTCAATCGCGGCCCAAGGCCGTGGCCTACCGGCTTCCCGCCAGGGTGTCGTCCCGTGTTGGCCGATCTGACACTCGGGCTCAATTCGGGGCCAGAGGCAAAGGCTTCGGCTCGACGGCCTCGTGCTTACGGCCCCGGTCCTTCTTTCTGCGCGCGAGCTTCGTCTGGATCTCCTGGAGACTCTTGCCCTTCGTTTCGGGTACGTAGACGAAGGCGAAGAGAGCGGACATGGCGCAAATCGAGGCGAAGAGCCAGAAGGTGACGGACTCGTGGAGCATGCGCGTCAGAATGTGGAAGGTGCGCGTGACGAGGAAGACGAGGAACCAGTTGGTCATTATGGAGATGCTGCCGGCTATGCCCTTAGTCTCCGGTGGAAAGAGCTCGCTTATAATGGAGTAAGGTACCGAGCCGTAGCCGAGGGAGAATACCACGTTGAACATGCCGATGCACGCGAGCGGTAGCCAGCTTATCCACGTTATGTCCTTTTTGTCTTCTTTCATCTTGTAGTAGTAGCCAAGGATGCCAAGGCAGATGGTCATGGCCGAGCCGGAGAATACGAGCAGCGGCTTCCTGCCGAACCTGTGCATAACAATCATACTGAGTCTGTTGGTTTTTCTTTCGCTGGCCCGCTTATTATCGCGATCGTAAGCATTATTAACCGGACACGCCCTCGGTTACATTGGCTGTACATTAGCATATTTAAGCGATTATTCCGCCACGTGTACAGTGCCTTAAAAAGTATTTACATTGATTTTAATGACGAACGAATGATACCCGACGATACAAAACTTTACTCGAGAGTGTTTAGATGTGAAAACTTTGATACGTCATTGAACTGCGACAATTGCTTAAACAAGATTAATATTGTACGGCAATATATTCGCACCGTTTTACCTTGTCTCTCTCATTGTAAAGGAAAGCATATTTTATATTATCTCCAGACATTCGGATTTAATCACGCTGGGTAGTCGAGATATTTTCTCGTCCACGAAATCTTAAATCTCGCTCTTTTCTCGATTCGTATTATTTGTTTAATATCTTTGTAAAGTTCCGTAAATATTAGTTAAAACGTATGAGGATGACCGGTTCATTACCTTCAATTTTGATTAAAATTTTTAGTTAAAATTTTCACTTCAACTAATCATGCCACGAAATTGATACCTTTAAATTGGAGTGTAGCGTATATGTTATATTACTAATCATTTTTAAATAAATCAAATGCTTTTATTTTTATCAAAAAAAAAAAAAAAAAAAAAAAAAAAAAAAAAAAAAAAAAAAAAAAAAAAGTAATAAATATGGATGATACAAAAACATCGGTTGACTTTTAAACTTGTTTTTTTTTTATTATATCCAATACAGTTGACATAGTTATAAAGTAGGTATATGTTTATATACAAGTGATTCATTAATTTTAATGGCATTGATTACTTATAAGCATAATTTCTGATTTCAAACAAAACAAGAGAAAGAAAAAAGGAAAAATGAAAGAAAGTTAAATAATTAATTGGCATTACCAGGGCCACACCAATTAAATTAGAGATTTATCGTAGTTTATAAATAATGAAATTCCTCACAAAATTATAAAAATATCCGTTTCAAGCGACATGTTTTACATTCTACGTAATTTCTGCCTTTATAATAAAAAAATTAAAGCAATTGATTTAAATGTAAATTATAAAAATGTTCGATGTGAGCGTAAGCATAAAATTATCTTCTTTTGCATGTCATAGATATCATAATTATTAAAAACAGATATTGAATTTACAAGTTTATTTTAAATAGTATCATCTGCTGTGACGTCATGGGTGTGGAAAGTTCTTCATTCATTATTGATTTTTCATTATTAATTAATTATCATTAAGTAATTATTAATTAAATATTTTTAACGCAGGTTGTGTATACAATACGATAATATGGCACAATTTCATAAGATAAACATCAATGGCTATTTTAACGGATTACTCGGAAAATTTTTTTTTCTTCAAATGAACAAGATTTTAATCTTTTTCTTAAAAAAACATTTACGCAACGAATTTCGCAGAAAACACATTTTTCTATTAAACCGTTTAAGTGTGAAACTAAATCTTTTATCTATCTACTTTTCTGTAAGTCCTTCATAAATTATGAAAATAATTAATTTGTTGTTTCTCATTTACACGTGGTTAAAAAAAAAAATCATTATATCGATACGTGTATAGGATATTTATTGGTATCCATCATTCAAAATTTGACATATACATAATTAGTATAAAAATACACTATTATATCAGTATTAACGTGTTTGACATTTATAAAGTTTGTTTAAAAAAAAAAAAAAAAAAAAAAAAAAAAATCATTTTAAAGAGCTTTTCATGGGGATGGGGATGGGGATGGGGATGGGGATGGGGATGGGGATGGGGATGTTTAAATTTTCGTTAAAATATGACACTATCATTTCAAATTGAGTATTAATTTTGGCAATGTCTTTTAAGTGGTTTAATGTGTTTTCCCCCGTATTACATGATAAGTGCTGCGTACTGTCTATAAACTTATAATTTCATTATTGTTTTTGTTTACACATTTCAAGCTGACGTTAATAAGTTATAATAAAAATTTGTAAATATGGCATGTTTATTTTTGTTAAAATTTTGTCATATAACATATAGTATTTTTAGTTTTTTAATAGTACTTTACGTTGTTTAAATATGATTTGCATGACGTATGACTTTTAAATGAATTTAAAAAAATATAAACATAAAATAATGAAATTCGTTAATTCTCAAGATGAATATATTAATTATTTAACTGAACGGCAACTATAATAACAAATATTTTTGACTTTTCTGTACATTTATAAGATTATTTTTTAAGAATCGTTGCAAAATTTAAATTCATAATAAAACATTGAAAATATTGCCATTTACGAAGCTCATAATTCAAATAAATTGGTATAAAAATATTTTAATTGACAGAAACTATCAATAATTTTTTAAAGCTTCTGATGTAGGTTATTAAATGATATTAATTGAAAGGTTACATTATTAGATTAATTTATATTAAATAATAACTGCACCGAAATTTTTTACGTCATAAAATATCACATAAGATAAAAGAGGTAAGATTAGTGAGTCATATTTTTATTGCCTCTGTACTACTCTATCTAATTCACTCTAATTTGATCGAGAGAATCCAATCATGTTATGCAAAGTACTCATTGAAATTGAATTTCCCATAATAGATCTTAGAACTTCGCCCCGCTTTTGGAGAAAGTGAAAAATGATATAAATACATTTCAAATAAAAGATGTATATGCTTTCCCATCTGATATATCTCATATTTCAATTTTATATATATGTAATATTTTTTTTTTTTTTTTTTTTTTTTTTTTTTAAAGTACTTTATATCTATCGAATCTTAGCGTGTGTTATTAATATAGTAATGTCAGAATTTCAAATGAATTTGTTTTTCATCATGTAAATGTTAATATTTTTTTATTCATTTATATTTGTCATAAATTGTTATACCAAATGTAAATTATAAAAGTAAATCGTGGAATATCTAAATTAGTGAAGTACGAACCGACATTTTATTATTAAAAAAAAAAATCCGTTTACTTTATAAGAATCATTATAATTATATGTAAATTTAAAATGTAGTTTAAAAAATAATTCGATTTTTCATTATTTAGATAATTCACTTAGCGAAGCTACATTTTTTAAATTTAATCGAAAAAATTAAACATACGAATAACTTTTAATAATTCAATTTGATTGATAAAAATTTACAATTTACAAAATGTCTTATACCTTTTAACATTAAATTTACAACGACAGAAGTAAAAAAAAAATATACGAAAAAAGACATTCCTTTTTGCTAAAAATATATACTTTGTTTTAACTTCAAATAAGTACATTGATTTTTTACTAAAAATAACTACATTATAAATAACACATGATTATTATGATTTACAATTTTAGTCATTTTTTAGTAGGGCATATGATATATACAATATCACAAATATACTGCTTTATGATATTTTAAAATGTTTTATGGCACTATTTAATTTCTAAATACTGTAAATGTATTTTAACGTATTCTTTGTAAATATTATGTTTTATTGAATTTACTTTGGAAGAATTGAATTCTTTAATAATTCGGCAAATATAACTGTTGAGTTTATTTATTTATTTTTTTCAATTAATTGTTATTTAGTTTTTGCACTTTTTAATATTTCTTGCATATTTGTTCAATAATTCTTTCATAGTTTGGTTAAAAACTACGATTTAATCGCTTAGATATATATATATATATATATATATATATATATATATATAGTAGTATTCGAGTATTTGATTTGTAATATTTATCAGAACATTCATTATTTCCTTTCAATTCTTTTTTTTTTTTTTTTTTATATATATATATATATATATATAGTATATTATAATAAATCCCAGTTTAAACATTGATTATTCATACGACTTTTGCTTAACGTAATATGATAATATTATATGTATACGTGCACGCATGACTTTGCGTGAGCTTACGAAGATGAACCTTTGAGAAAGCACGAAGACGCCAAAACAGATTATAAGAAAGTCCGTAATCTATTTCTATTGTCGAGTAGTCTTGGACACTTCTCAACAAGGATATCGTAGGTCTTACATTGCTGTCGTTAAGTCGTTTGCGATAAAGAGAATATGCGTGATCAAATACGATTTTGTAATGGCACAAAAAGTGCATAGCAAGAAGAAGAAGTAAAAGAGAAAGAGAAATTAATCGGAACACGTGCGAATGTATACGTGCTTGATCCTGTTCCCCGTCGTCATTTACACGGTTGTTCCCGTCATGGGTATTTTCATGGTAATTTTGCGTTACTTAAAATATGATAATTATTTAGGCTATCGTATAAAAATTTCGACCGTGAAATTGCTTCGATAATGTATTAGATTATTGTTTCTCATTACATTATCACGTAAATGTTTTTGAGCTTTTGTGTTTGCCCATTGAAGAATAAATTTCTCGAAATGACGTACTCGTAAATTGGTAGTATTTTATGTTTTATATTTTTTATTTTTGCAAAAATATTTTCCCAAAGCGTGCATAAATTATGAGCTAGAATTTTTCTTCGTGCTATATCGATTATTCTTAGAGCCTATAAGCGTTCCATAAGCCTACAAGCGGTGAAAGTTCAATTGACTCAATAATTTAATAGGCAGATTTAATCGCAAGTTAAAATTTTAATAAGCATATGCAATAAAGATATTTTTTAATTTAAGAGTAGGGTGCTAAATTTATTCGAGTTGACTCGAGTTTATTCTTTGAGTAATTTAATCGTTAATTTTCATTCTCGACTAATGTGGATGAGTAGAGTAGCAGCACATCACTATAATATCGGTGATATACCGAAAAAGTTTAACTCCAAGAAATTTTATGTACCACAGATCTTATTTTCATAATAATTGCTAAGTTGTATTAATAAGATGATTAGCTTCGATCGAACAGTATCGCTGACGAATAAATAATATTAGTATTAGATTATGAGGTTGGTATACCAAAGGTAGACAGAGAGCGAGCGTGGCTTGGGCTGTGGCTGGCTGGCTGGGGTTGTGGATATAGGGGGAGAGGATTCGGAGGAAAAAAATTAGATAAACGTTGAGGGGGCGTTGAAGGTAGTGTACGTGTGTATTATAAACGGAAGGACAAATCGGTAGTCGAACAAGAGTAGACGATAAAGTCACGTCAATCAATACCTGTCGATGGTGACGGCCACAATAAGACCCATGATGACCTCGATTATGCCGATGATAATAGTGGCGACGTTGGGGTCGATCGAGCTCTTGGCCTCCTCGAATATTTGAACCGTGTAGAAGAGCACGGCATCGATCCCGCACATCTGCTGGAACCACATAAGGCCGACGCAGGTGCCGATGGCCTTCCTACCGGCTTTCGTTCCTAGCAAATCCCTCAGGCCTCCCTCCTTCACTTGGACCTGCTCCGACTCTTCGAGCAGCTCGCCGATCTCCTGGCTCACGTCGTAGTTGGCGCCCCGTAGGAGTCGCAACACTTTGTAGGCGTCGGCCTTCCTGCCGCGTTGTACGAGCCAGCTCGGCGACTCCGGCAGAAAAATGACGGATACGAGGAAGGGTACGAGCAGGGCGCAGCAGCATCCGTTGAAGGCCATGTAGCTGAGGTAGGAGCCCGCGGTGTAGGAGAATACGATGCCCAGCGAGAAGAAGATGGGGAAGAAGGTCCCGAGGGTGCCCCGAATCGAGGGCTCGGCGATTTCCCCGATATAGACGGGTACGAGGACGCAGGCCGCCCCGGCGCCTATGCCTCCGATGAAGCGCGCCACGTATAATACCGGTATGCTCGCCCCCAAAGGTGCCAGCAGCATCAGGACCCAGCAGATGAGGAAGGGCATAGCCGTTATGCCGATAGCGATCTTCCGACCGATCTTGTCGGCGGCTTTGCCAGAGGGCACGGCCCCCAAAATGGCGCCCAGTGCCATGAGCGAGGTAATCCAAGAGACCTCCTCGCCGTCGGGGTCGAGGTTCGGTAGGAACGAGTCGTTCCTGCTCAGGTGCGGAATTACCGGCGAGGTCCAGCCCAGGTTCATCCCGCTCTGAGCCATTATCGATCCCGCTGCAAAGTCATAATCGTCTGGGTTATATACGTGGGTGCACGTGGGTCGTGCGCCTGACCTTCGATACACACTTTTTCGGTGCCATTATTAGCGAAATTTATCCGAGCGAACGTCGCGTGGATGGTATATTTAGCCGAATGCGCGGCCAAGTTCTCGATTGAACTACGTGTTTCTCGCTTCTCCGTGCTTCGCTTATTGAGAAGAAAATGAAAAAAGCACAAAGAAAGAAGAAAAAAAGGGAGGGAGCGAGCGAAGCGAGGCGAAAATAAAATGAAAATTAAAATGAAAATATGGTAGAAAGGAGAGAGAAAATGCTCGGGCTACGCTTGATCGACGCCGCTCCCCTTGGCGAATTTAATAATAAAGTCTCGATATCGTGGACTAGGATGCCTCGCTATTATTACGGCGTACTGCAATTAGTCGACGGATTTCCTCGTGCATCTCGTGCAGTGTTTATAAACAAAGCCAATAACTTTCAAGTACGCGTGTTATTTTTCTAAAGCGGATGCTCATCCGAGGCGTAAATGAGATCGAATCTGTCCCATTGATGATAAAGTCAGCCAAGGTCAGTGAGAAAATTCACGGGGGATGGATGGGTTATTGGGGGTGGGGAGGGCGATTGGAGAGGGATAGGGAGGAGAGAGAGAGAGAGAGAGAGAGAGAGAGAGAAAAGACGCGAGAAACGATGAAAATAGGGAAAGGAGCTTTTGTCGAAAAGTCGCGGGGCCAAATTGGAAAGTCACGGTCCGCGATCGTCGGTGCACGTGCGAGTCGTCCGGAACACCACGAGCAGCTTCGTTTCAATTAAAACGATTGCTGTGGGAATAATGCAATACCATTCCTTTCGCAATAAAATCATTTTACTTTTTTAAATTAAGCTGCCCTTGGGGCAATGATCTCAATTATAGTCTACAAATCATTTTCGAGAACGGCATGGAGTACGTAAATAACTTGGGAAAAATCGTCGATGACGACGCCTATTTATGTGTCAGACGACTTTTCAACTTCCGAATTGACCATTCGCGTTCAAGTTTTATCTCTTTTTTCGGTATTTTTATTTGCAACTCGTTGTTTTTACTTTAACTGCGAATAAATTCGATTTGAAGCTCGGATAAACAAGGCAGCAGCAAGCGCGTGCATTACTTAATAACCTTTTTTTCACGAACTGATCTTTAATTACCTGCTGTTGTTTTACGTACTTAGTTGTAGTTTTATTTATTTATTTATTATTATTATTTTTTATTTTTATTTCATCGACTAATAATTATAGTAAATTATCTATAATGGAGTTGTGCTGTTTCAAATACTTTAAAGAGAAACGAAATTTCTGTTTAAACGTCATCAGTGCGTGAAATTTTTCTAGTTTCCTGCATAATTTTTTCATGTACGTGCGTGCATGAGTACGGTTGTGCGTGTACAATGTGCAACAAACAAGATATACGTATCATCTTTATGTAACACAATGTAAATTGGGTTAATTTGGTAACTGAAATCGCACTGCGAATACAAAAGAGAATTTCAATTTTGTATCAGTCATTGTCAGCTCTCTGCAGTTAGTTCTGTCTTAACTCTTAGATTATCTAGTTTATAGAGAGAAAGAGAGAGAGAGAGAGAGAGAGAGAGAGAGAGAGAGAGTGAGATGCGGGCGGGGGCGGATTGTAGACAGAGAGACAGAGAGACAAACATCACATACAGTCAGACAGACAAACATCACATACAGTCAGACAGACAGATGGACAGACAAACAAAGAGAGAGAGAGAGAGAGAGAGAGAGAGAGAGAG